TCCACGATGTGAGCGCTTTTATCAGTCCCAAAACATGTAGAACTGGCCTTTACCACACCCCTAGCCCATAGTCTCAGCCTTAGCCCCACGACTGCATGCAGCCTAGGTCGCACGACTGTATGCAGCGTATATTATAGGCACAAGGACGGACGTGTGAGAAGAAGAGAACGACGTGAGGATATTCAGTGTGCTAAGGGAACAATTGTCGGCTCTGTGGCTAAGTCGATGTGAACGCGTCGTAATGCCGGGATGCCGGGTCCGATCCCAGCAGCGGGCCATGCGCCTTGCATTGGTTTCGACAGTGGTATCGAGAAAGTCGACCGTCCAGATGGCATTGGCAAACTACTGGACGCAAATTTGCATAGAAAATTTGGGGTTGGTTTTGCAACGTCCTGTAAAAGGATACGCAACTAACCATAAGGGAACAATCAGCATCTACATACAATGTCTTTGCTGAGGGAGACAGAGCATTTATGAGTATAGTAAGTAAGTAAATTTTTCCCCACCAGGACAACACACAAAGCGATAAACACCCGGTGACACAAAGTGCCACCATGCGGATGTGAATCACTCGTGGAGAGGTCCCGGAAACCGCGTTTAACTATTAGGCTATTTTGCGGCCCCTGTCAAGAGCCAGTGTGGGCTTCAAAGTAGAGAAAGGGGGGGGGGAGGACTAATATATCATATACTCTAATTTATGGGTATGCATGAAGTGCTCTGATATCGATTCTTAAAAGAGTGTGTTATGTGAGTCAGTTAAATCACAATTGTGTACTTTTGCTGCGAAGAGGAAGAGCGTATTATAGCTTACACAAACATGACGTTTGAGCAGAGATGGGGAGAGAGAGAGAGTGATATAGAGAGGGGTGAGACAGATAGATCGATAGACAGACAGACAGACAGACAGACAGACAGACAGACAGACAGACAGACAGATAGACAGATAGACAGATAGATAGATAGATAGATAGATAGATAGATAGATAGATAGATAGATAGATAGATAGATAGATAGATAGATAGATAGATAGATAGATAGATAGATAGATAGATAGATAGATAGATAGATAGATAGATAGATAGATAGATAGATAGATAGATAGATAGATAGATAGATGGATAGATAGATAGATAGATAGATAGATAGATAGATAGATAGATAGATAGATAGATAGATAGATAGATAGATAGATAGATAGATAGATAGATAGAGAGAGGGGGAAAAGGGGGGGGGGGGGGGGTCTGACCAAAAAAAAAATCGATATTTAAAAAAAAAAGGACTGAAATAATGTGTAGCAAACAGGAAAGTAGTTAACATAACTTTATTGTAAACTTCCGTTAAGGGGAACTTACCACGATGATACTGATAACGTAATGACTGTTTATTTTGGGAATTCTCGAATGTAAAAATGAAAGCGATCTCTGTATGTTATTGTTTTAATCGCATTGTTCAAATATGCATAAGATATTTCATCTATTCCTTTTAGTAATAAAGCTGTTTTCTTTTATAAAGCAAAAGTAGTTTGAATTAAACTGCTACTGAAATACTTTGCATGGCAATTTGAATGAGACCTCAAGCATTTTAAATTGAACAGTTTCGGTTTCTCCATAGTTACACTATGATAGTAATCGGTTTCTCAGTTTATTTTGTCATTAGGAGGAATAACTATAAACAATTTAAACCTGATTTTATAGATCCAAACTTAAGCTAAGGTTCAGTTACACATGATTGCTTGAAAATATATTAATATATATTGGCGTAATGACACTGAGACTGAGTAAGTAAGTAGTTACTAACTACGGCTCTCCTCCGAAAGGCGTCATAATATTATGGCGGCCATAAAAATATCCGAACGGGGCTCAGGCATATCTATTATACAGACTTTCTCCACGGAACAAATCGCGGCGAAACTCTAGGATTACTTGACAATATCAACATTGCACACGGTAGTAGCAGACGATAAATACCGACCGTTGACAATTTCGATAGTTTCTGCAGACGATATTAGCAACTGTTGACAATTTCGAGACATTACAGACGATGAAAGCGATATGGCGACTAGACCACGCGCTCCCACGCAGATTAGCAATACTGTTCGTCCGATTGAGGATTTAGCAGCGGTAGATGTCAGACCTGCCGACCTGTATCCTCACACTTTTTGGCAAAACGCGATTAAACTTACCGCCGCGCGTATACCCCGCACTGCTACGTGCTGCGCGGATGGGGGGCTAAACAAGGTGCCTGGGACTCACGAGCAAATTAGTTGCAGGAAGTTGCAGGAGATGCGGTAGCTGCTGCTCGTGAGTCCCAGCCATCTAGTATAGCCCCCTCATCCGCGCCGTGCATAGCATCGCGGGGGATGCGGTCGGCGGTGAGTCACAGAAACAGATCCGCAAGTAACATATCGTTGAGACCCTGTTAGAGCATTTGTTTCGCTATACGGAGCCGGCATATTTTTAATACAAATGAGCCCCGTTTGGATATTTTTGCATATTTTATGGCCGCCATAATATTATGACGCCATTTGGAGAAGATACTCAGTGTACACAAAATTCAAGATAGGCGTATCAGCCATGTGCACCTGTGGAAAGGTGCCCCAGACAGCAGAGCATGTACTCCAGGACTACACCCAATTTGACACATTAAGGCAAACCTTTTGGCCAGAAAGAACAACAGTGGAACGTAAACTCTATGGACTACTGAATGAATTAACAACAACAGTGAAAATTTATACAAGAGACAAAATTGCTGATATAGACAGCTTATTTCAGGCGAACGAAAGAAGAGAAGAAGAGTAACTTATAGTAGACTGGCTCAACATTGAAAATGTGTGTATAGTTTTTTAACTATTTAATTTACACTTTAATAATGAATAATGTTTTGGTTTAGTTTCTAGTTTATTATTAAAAACATAAAATTTGATATAGAATACTCAGAATAGCAGAGTTTAGTTATTGGTAATTTTACTGTAAATCATCAAAGCATCGAATTCAGCCTGTCAGTTCGAGTTCCATAAATAACTGATTCCTGTTGATGTTATTATTTGTACCATGTATTTAATCTCTGATTGTTATTGTAGTTTGTGGCTAAACATGCATAATAAAAATATATAAAACAGTTGAAACAAAACTCTGTTTAGTATTGTGGAGATCATGTGTTGTTCATGCAACATGATGATGATATCTTTTTCTGCCTGCCTTATCACTCCAAAGGAAAGGTAAAGTCAATGTTTGGAACAAAGCACGCTGCAGAAGCAGCTGGATTAGAGGAGCAGGGCTTTTTCTGTCCAGCTGACCTGTCAGAGTTTCCCTCCTAGACCAGCTGTCATCCGAGGCTAAATGCCTGGTCCACCCTGCCATAACATTAAGTTTTTAGGTTGCATTTCCTTTTCCTTGGTTAAGGCTTGTATCCTCTCCAATGAACTTTTTTGCCCAAAGCTACTGGCACATTGTGGGATGTCACGTCTGGTATAAACCACCCAGCATTCAGCATTAACAGAAAACAAGCAGTCCCGACTACTTTGTCTCTCACTTTTTCATTCTCCATCATGTTTAGTCTTAGTTTAGGTTTCAACATCACTGCAGTCAGGTTTCTCTCTACTTGCTACATTCCTGTGCCAGTGCAAATCAAATGAAATATCCCTCACTGTCTCTTTTAAAAAACTGGTAAACAAACATCTAATCCCGGAACAATCCAGAAATATCCGCACACAGTAAATGTGTATGGCGGTTGCTAGAGGTGTCAAAACCCACGGTCGTCACCAGAAATGCAGTTTGTCGTTGATGGAAGTAGCCAGGCATAAGTTGTACACACCTAGAATTATATGTAAGGTTTATCACCAGCTCACGGGTAAACTGACTACCAGCCATATTGAATACTGCGACACACCAACTGCACAAATGAAAGGCATTCCAAATGAAAAAAAAAACAGCTCACAGGGCTGCACCAAGCACTAAACTCAGTAGCTCAGGCATTGAAACCGTAGTCTACCGTTCATATGTGGAAACTGCATTAGCAAAGCGCTGTCAGAAGCAAAAATAACTTCAAGCTATTCTGCCATGCCTAACCCACAATTTTACCGGAAGTCCTTTCCCTTATGTTTGCCAGTCATTACTACGATCTACTAAGTTTTCATTTCTCCTTATAACATGTAAGGGGACTATACCATCCTCGCTTTCATTCTTTTATGCTCCCTGTGTAGGTTCCAGGGCCCCCTTGTGGGGAAAACAAGGATAGACCCACTGCCTCCCCAACAAGTATGTCGTAGGAGTTGACTGATTGGGAGCTTCCTTTGAAGTTAGAGTGCATCTGCTCGAACTGCAAGGAGTAACCAGTTGCACAAAATAAGCCAGTAGAAAAGATGTCACTCAACTTATAACCTGGCACAAAAGCAAAGTCCAAATGGATGAACAACCAGGACTTTCTGCTGGAGCTTACAGTGGGTTAACAAAGAAAAAAAGATTTTTTTATGAAAATCTGCTAGGTTTTTTTGAGTAAAAGATGGGCAATATGACCCTAAGCAACTCTCCAACCACCATTTTATTTAAGTTGTTTTTGAACTAAATTTTTAGATAAATAATCTTAAAGATAATGAGCATCTGGCTGAGGGGTTATAACTCTCGGCTTTGATGCAGGAGACCTTTGTTTAAATCCTCTGTAAATTGATGGATGTTATTTTAAGTTGGGTCAGAAATAAACATCCTAGCCCACACAGTTTGTGGTGACTGCACAAGCCATTGGGCTCTAAATCCTTAGCTCAAAACTTCCCTGACCTGTCGTACCCCAACAACTGGTACTACAAACTAAAAAAGACCATTCTTATTTAATTGCTTATAAATTTATGTCATTTGTGACAAAATCTGTAATTTGATTACTAGTATTTTTCTTATTGGCAGTTTTGTAACCTTATGTTTTTTTCCCCAGGTTGAAATGGTAACATTTGATCAAATATTTTGAATCAGTGTAAGTGTTCTTCATAGTAAGAGGATAGCATTCCAGAATGCCTCGAAGACATTTGGATAAAAATGAACGAGGGCCTAAACTAAATGAACCTGTTTGTATTGGAGAAGATGTGAAAATTGGAATTCACTTGGCAATAGAACGATTTAGATTGGATGCTACTCAACAGGGTAATATATATTGTTTTATGAATATAATGTATGTTTTTTTAAATTTTTGTTTGTTGAAACATTTAGATAATCCATTGATAAGAGAAATAATTTGTTGACAGTTTTTCCTGTATGGGTTCCGGGGCTTCATTATAGGGGAAAAAACAGACCTGCAGCCTCCCTAACAAGCATGCTGTAAGAGTCGACTAATTAGGGGTGTTTCCTTTAAAGTTGGAGTGCATCTGCCTTAGAGATAAAGCACCTGCAGTCTGCATGCAAATAAGCCAGATCTCTAATTTATATACTCAATATCTGGAACAAGATTAAAGTTCAGAAGTAAACGAACAACCAGAAATTTCTGCCAGATTTTATAGCCATTGAGCGCAAAGAAGAAGTTGAAAGTTTTCATATAGTCAGTGGGGTTACTAGAGAAGTGACTGGCTGAGTGGTTAAAGCATTGGGTTCTTATGAGAGAGACCCATCTTCTTTCTCGGTCAGGAATGAATATTTTTTTCTTTGTGGGGCAAAAAATAAAAATCCAGACCTGCACAGTTCATGGCCACAGCACCTGCCATGAAGCCTTAAAACCTCAGGCTCATGCCCCCCCCCCCCCTCCAACCCCAGTCTGCCATCACCGTAATGAAGTGGTCAAGCCATTTGTTTCACACTCTGAAGGCCAGAGCTATAGAGGTTGTACTTTGTGTGACGCCCCCGGCAGGCAGCTAGCTGTTCTGCGGAGAGAGACTGAGCCATATGGGATAAGCCCTGGTGCATTGAAGTTGATCCTCTCACCTTTACTTTTGCGTTTAATGAAAAACTTGTCAGCCCCAAGACAAACAACCAAAACTTCCCACCTGAGTTTATAGTTGGGGAACGTGAAGAAGAGGAATACAAACATTAGAGGTTAGCAGGCTATCCGCCATTTTGGCTGGAAGTCAGAAGTACTGGTGTCTGATTGGTAGCTAAATTATGCATGTACTGTTTACTGATTGTACACCTTCTCCTCAACTTACAACTATCCACACTAACGAAAGAAAACATTAATTAATTAAAAATAGTAAATACAGAAAGGTACCTACATTGGTAGTTCACTAGACAGTGCTTCTGCAGCTGCACTTTCTGTAGGTTGGGTGTTCATTCCTTCACTCATAGTCCCATAACACTATGTGTCGTTGGGTCAGCAGTTGCTGGTACATTGGAGTTGTTTGCATTTTTGAGGCTTATCTAGTCAGCAAGTTGTGTATCCAGATTTTCTTTTTCTGCCTCTTCTCCTTATCTCCTCTATTGAGCTCTGTTTGTTAGGTAGGCAAATTAAATCAATTGTCAGTTGCCATCTCCTAGGGAAGGATGGCTGCATTAGATCTTCAGCACTTTCTTTATCTCTCACTCTGGTTGTACACTCTAACAGACTGCTGTTTTTTTATCTTATGATTTCTTCCCACTAGTATCATTCTCAGCGTCTTTACTAAATCTAATTAGTAAAGTAAAATAAAGGGCATATAATGCTAGACTCATATTTTTATAGACCACTCGGCCCTCTGGTGTCATGGTCTGCATCATGTGACTGTCTCTACTTTCCAGGAAATTATCCTTACCCATTTTAAGCTTGGTCAACATGGGAGCCAAGGTCGATTTTGAAGAAAAAAAAAATCTGTTATGATATGGATTTGTACCCGAGACATTTTGGCCACCAGGTGAGCATCTAGCCACTACACTACCACAGGTGTCAATTAATAATTAGTAAAGAGAGTTTAATTCATAACTTTATTAAAACAATTTGTAATTCACTGTTAACTTTAGTATGTATAATTGTGTTTCTGCCAGAGTTGTGTTTCCCTTCATCCCTGTCAACAACTGAAAGAGCTTACATACATCGCTACTGTAATCAGCTGAGTGATTTGAAGGCTAGAAGCAGAGGGCAAGTATCTGTTTATTGAAATAGTATAAGTCACATAATGCATTAAGAGCAAAGAAAAAAATAATAGTTAACTTTTCAGCATGAACTGGCTTCCAATGCTTAGAGGGGCTTGCATCACTTGAAAAGACTAGGACAGGAGAATATGATAGATTTTCTGTCCAGGATATTCAGGTATGTTGGGTAATAAGCAGGCTGATAGATTGGCTACTTCTGCTCCACTGGCTAGTGATCTACTTAATGATAAAGTGGATGTGGTGAAGACTATCTGGGATCAGAAGAACAGTGCAATAGAACAGGCTGAGAATGCATACTTTAAAGGGGTATTTGGGGGAGGGGTTGTGACTAGAGGTTTGAAAGGTCTCCAACACTGAGCTGGAAACAGACTTGTAATCAGGTTGCAGCTAGTACTGTTAGCATGTCCACTTTTTGCTGGCTACTTTGGAAGGAGATGGGGCACATGTAGGAATGGCCTGAGTCCAGGAATGTCAACATTTGATTGACTGATTCATTCATTCCTCTTACGCATGGGTTACATCTGAATCTTCCCTGTTATTCACTGTGAATCAAATCAAAAAAGTACAACAAACTATAAAAAAAGCAATTTAAAAAAAAGTAATTAATTCCTCTTTGCTGTGCTCAAGAGCTCATAGCTCAAATTAGATGCATTGAATAATTACAGTTGGACATTGTCAGATGGAATATAACTTCAATAGAGCATTGAGAATTCATGCTTAAAAAACTTGCTGTGGCAATTGGAAGGGAAGATTTAAAAACTGTTCTTTTTCAACCATGACAAGTGGTGATGACCAGTCCTTTCATGTGCTCGAGATAAAGGGGGAATATTTGGCTGTTTAGATGTCTGATAAGGCCGTTTTTTGGTGTGTTTTTTTCTAGTTTGTTTTTAGTTTTGGCCACTCACATGCCGCAGCTTGATAATGGAGAGGTGGGTGCCAGGATATATGGTCTGGTTCAGCAACTTTCCCAGTATCAGGTTCAATGTGAGATGCTTCGAATGTGGTCTTCAGATTGTCCTTGTTCAGTCATTAATATAAAAAAAAACCTATAAAATTAACAGCCAAAGTATACGAAATAATAATTTTAAAAAAAGTGATTAGTAAAGGACCCTTTTATACGCTGGTGCCACATTGGACATATGCTAAGCTGATATTTTTATAGACAGTCGGCTCTCAATAGGTAAAGTAAAGGTAAAAGTAAGAGGATCGGCTTCATAGCACCAGGTTGCATCCCGTATGGTTCAGTCTCTCTCCGCAGAAAAGCTAGCTGCCTACTGAGAGCGTCGCACAGAGCAGGACCTTCATAACTCTGGCGACAATCCCCAGGGGGTTCCATAAAAATTGCACTCGGAAATTGAACGCCGCTACCGTGAAACGCACCCATGACCTTCAGAGCATGAGGCAAACGGCTTGACCACTTCGCCACAGGGGATGAGGTCAACCTGGGAGCCAAAGTCGGTTTTGAAAAACACCAGTTGCGGGTGGTTGCAAACCAACACCTTCCATTATGTTAGCCTGGCTCCCTGAAGCGCATCAGACATTTATTAGAGATGCAACAAAGACTTTCAAATTATTGGAGAGGTGTCTCCAATATTACACATGGGACACGAATAATTAAAGGATGTGTGTTCACTGGCTGTCAGCCCCGGCAGAAATGTCAGACTGTTCATCTTGGACTTTAGGCTTGTTCTAGAACTTTTTGTGTGCACATCCGTTTTACTGATCTGGCTTTTGGTTTTCTGCCTCATAAGTAGGTGTACTCTGACTTTGAAGGAAACACCCCTAATTAATCAACTTTTATGACATGCTTGTCAAGGGTGTTTTTATTTTATTTCCCCCCCCCCCCCCCCCCCCCCAGTCCTCCCCACCCTCCTAACACTAGTGCCCCGGAATCCACACGGGAAATTTGAGATAAGTTTCAGTATTAAAGAAACACCTGTTTATGAATGTCAAAGTTACTCATATAAATTACTGAGATAAAAGTTTTTTCAGCCTTTCTTCATACCATTCCAGCTTTTCTTCATACCATTTCTGCCTTTCTACATACCATTCCAGCCTTTCTTCATACCATTCCAGATCTTCTCCTGAGTTCATTCACCCTTAAAAGGGTGGTTGGTGCATTGTGTTCATAAAATCTTTAATTAGTTGCCCTTTATGATGTGTTGTGAGCAGTGGATCCGTTCTCTCTCTCCCCCCCCCCCTCCCTTTTCCCCCCAGTAGGGCCCTAGAACCCATATAGGGACAATTTCAAAAATAACAGCCACATTTCAATGTTTCAGCCATGGTCAGAATCGATGTATATCAGTACGCAAAATTGAAGGTGGAAGGAAAGGCACAACATTGCCATCTCTGTTTTCTCTGGCCCATAATGCCTCTCAAGTGAATGCTGTGCTCAGCAAGTACCCTGTAACAGCGAAGGAGAAGCAAGATTTGACACCGCAGCTTGTGAAGTCTGCAAATGCTAATGAAAGTATGCTACATCTTCTGTTTTCCCTTGACTGTTTAACCATATAAATAGTTAATCTTCTTGGCCTCTTGCCGTCTTTCCAGGCCAGTGTTCCATTGTGCTAGAGGGAGGAATCGCAATCACAACCAATGGCTATACAAGTTAAGACCAGGGATGAATCCTGGCAATCCTTCATAATGACCCTGTGTATCTTTGGGAGCTGGGGTAGCTTGCCTGCTAGCCCTGTAGTCATAGGGCTGAAATAAAGCACTTCTAACAAAAATTGGCCTTGGCTTCTAAGTCAGCTCAGTCTTGTATAGAATGTGTACAATAAACATTCAGGAAAAGGGAATGTGGTTGGCATAATACTGACAACGTTACACATGAAATATCTGGTCGGGAATTTAAAAAAATTGATGGGGGTAGCCCCATATGCCTATTACATGTCAAACCTTAACTTTGCTTTAACTAAACATCACCGTTTCGTTATGTCACATAGGGTTAGCAGTCGTATCCTTCATTGAATTGGTAGTTTATTTAGCAGTGTTAGTTTTTACCCGGGTGAGTTAGCTCAATACCCAGCCTCCCTTCTTTCTTATCCTGGTTTCAGATCTATTATTTATTTTAATTCATTTTTTATTTAGTTATTTATAGTTTCATTGCACTACAGTAAAATACTTGTTCTGCTGTGTATCTTCATATCTTGTTAACTATGTATAATGTCTGTCTCTCATTCAGTGAAAGTTCATAACAGTATATTAAAAAAATCCTCAAATATTATGTTTTTAAATGTCACTGCCACTAGGTCGAGACAAGTCAAACTTTGGACGCTTGACCAATGTGGTCCCCCAAATACCAGCGAAGCGAGGAACTTCAGAGCTGGGCAAGTTCCGTGAGATGCTTCCGGTATTTCAGATGGGAAATAAAATTATGGACGTCATAAATGCCAATAGGGTGGTGTTGATTGCAGGAGAGACTGGTTCTGGTAAAACAACTCAGGTATTCCATGATAGAAGTAATTATGGTTATTTATTGTACCATTGTATGTGTCTCTGGCTTACTAATTTACTAATTATTTAAGCAAGTAAAGTAAAGCTCACTTTTCACGCCATATTTTTACAGACCAATCGGCATTAGGTGGGTAGTGTAGTCAGCATTACGCTGCCCACCTTTACTTTCCCAGGACATACATACAGTATGCAGTCCAGTATCTTTCACTTCTTTCAACGTTCACCTTTATTTTAAATTTATAATTTTCTCAAATTTTCTTTTCTTCAACTTCCTTGGTTTCTCAGTCCCTCTATTTCCCATTCAGTGCCTTTTTGGTAATCGGCATTTCTCAGAATGTGTCCAGAGTATAGAGTCATCTTCTCTGTCTTATAACTGTTGATACTAGTGGTTGCCTAGACATTACTCTTATTTCTTCACTTCTTTTGAATTCATTCAATGTTCATCATTTTCTTGGGCATTTGTTTTAAAATGCATTCTCTTGTCCCATATCTTTGGTGGTTCTCCAATTCACTGGCATATGTTAAAACTAAAATAACGTTAAAATTGAAAATATGTAACCTACCTCTAAAGCTGTATAATTCAACATACAAGGATTTTATTTTTTACAGCATGTTGTTTAAAAAAAGTTTATTCTCATAGTTTTTGGACAGTGGTACGAGAGTTGTAGCCTAGAAGAGATTAGGACCTCACCTTGTCATGATCCGAAAGACAGTACTTTATGCAGAAATCTATTGCATAACCTCCATTTTATGCCTGTAAAACATGTATAAGAAATAGATAATGGCAGCAAAAATCAGCAATCTGAGGATAATGTACAGAATAATCCTTATGGACATAACACAAAAAAGAGGCAAAAACAAATTAAAAACTAGAAACTAATAAGACAAATTAGATGAAGACATCCCTGTTTTTGGTCATGTTAAAGGGAAATAAAACTTAGCGACTATTGGCAAGGCTTGATGGGGAAAGAATAAGGCAGAGACAAAGTGATTAATTTCTAGTTGCACTGACCAAATGGCATACAAGTGACAACTCTGTCCTGATCCAGTTCTCTGATGATCATGTGAGATAGTGAACCCAGTTTTGAATCTGTCCAGTTTCAAATTTTGTCTGACTACGAACTGGTACAGTCAGTGTGTTTCTGATAAATAAAACTGAAAAGGTATAGATTTATCAAGAGTTCATTTATATCATGTTAATTAATAATTATTTTCATCATGTAATGTCAACAGTTTCTGCAGTAAATGAAAGAGTTAATGTTAGTGTTGAGAGGATCAACTTCATTGCCCGGGGGTTATCTTGTAGGGCTTGGTCTCTCATAGCAGAATGGCTAGCGGCCTGCTGAGAATGTTGCAGAAAGCATGGGCTCCATAGCTCTAATGACAATCCCCTGGAATATCTGTAAAAACTGCACTCGTGAACTAAATGACACGTCCGTGAACGAACTCGTGATCTACAGAACGCAAAGCAAACAGCTTGATCACTTTGCCACGGAGGCCTCAGTCTAAAAGGGAATTAAAATGAACACTAATTTTATGACAACCTAAAATAAACTTCCTCTGTTTTCAATTGTAGGTTCCCCAGCTAATTTTAGATGACTGCTCTGAGAAAAAGGAAGCTTGCCGTATGTTATGTCCTCAGCCTAGAAGGATAGCTGCTGTAAGCATTGCAGAGAGAGTAGCAGCGGAGAGGGGAGAGCGCCTTGGGCATACTGTTGGTTACCAGATCAGACTTGAAAGCAAGTGAGTCTCAAAGCTTTATCATTAAAATTATTCAAGCTCTTTCTTTGGATGTCCTTGAGGTAGGTAGAGAGTTGAAGCGCCCAGAAACTAGTATGTATTGGATTGTGTTTCCTCATGAGGCACTATACTAGCATTAGACTAAAAGATTTTTTTCCTCCTGCTGCTACTGCTTCTTCACTTTCTTATCTTCCTACTGAGTTGAGTTAAGCTAAGAACTAACATTACAGCACTTGGGACATTCCCATTAGTGTTCTATCCCTGTCTTCAGCAGCCACTGATGAGTTCTGATTCCAGTGTGGCCAGTGGCAGTTTGATTATATGTCCGTCTTGCCTTTCCTCTGAGTGTAGGAGTTTCGACCAAATTCCCTGGTCCTCCTAGCTGTACCATTCTTTCCATACCATAATGATCTATTTATGCCTTGACATTGTTCACTTGCTCCCCAAGGGACTTGACCTCATCTAGCCTGTTGTACATAAAATCACCACCCATTGTTGCAGAAGCAACCAGCCAGTCTGTCTGTCTGTTCAGTTCCCAGCACTCCTGCACACCCCTGAGAAAGTATCCAAAGAACACTAACTACCCAGGACCTCAGAAGCGATGCTCGGCACTCTGCATGGAGCTTGTCTGCACCTTTCTTGACATGCTTTGTGAGTTGCTTACAATCACAAAATATGTGTGCAGATGGTTCTCAAGCCAGCAGAAAGCTGCTGTGACTGCCTCCACCTCCATTCTCAAACTAGATGTTGTAGTATCATATGCTCAGCTTTTTTGCACTAAGCATTGCCCATTTGCATCCACAATGACCCCCCCCCCCCCCTCCTATTTCTTCCTCCTGCGTACATGTATGCATTCATTTCTGCATTTATCTGGTATAGAAGAGTGCTGTCTTATGAATCCAGATGTACCCTTCAGCTAAAACATTAATTCATTTTTAGGTTTGTCTTGGCCAAGTAGTATTCATGTTTGCCTCATGCTGTGAACGGACTGTGTTTTTCAGTTTACTGGCACATCTTTTATGGAGATCTTTGGGTATCATTGCTAGAGATACAGAGTTTGTGCTTTGTGCAATTCTTTTGGCAGGCATCTAGCCATTTTGTGCAGAGACTGAAAAAAGTGGGATGAAATTTAGTGCAGTGAAGCCTGTCCTCTTGACTTAAAATTTTGTTTTACCACATCCTGATTACCTTGCTGTTTAAGTCACTGAATCACTAGAGGTCTGTTAACTTAAACATATTTCCAACTTTTACTAGCAACATTCCTCCTTTTGTGGCAACATTTGCCTAAATGTTTTTGTACTTTTGTAAGTTGCCCTTGGTCAAGCTGTTTGACTTTCAGCATTGAGAAATGTTACTACATTTTTGGTGTGGTAGAAACTTTTACAGTTGATAAAAAAAATTGATTTTTTGTTGTTTTTGTTTTGCTTGAATGATAAAATGTGATAGATTAGGTGATAAAATTTATGCTTTGTTGTTTTTGTGTATTAGAATTTCACAGAAGACTGTGCTTACTTTCTGCACAACTGGTGTCCTGTTGCGGACATTAATGGGAGGGGATGCTTGTCTGAGTAGTGTCACACACATCATTGTGGTAAGTATCAGTATGTCTTTACCAGCACGAATATAGTCTGTGGTTTGTAAATTTTGTTTTTGTTTTGCTTTGTTCTGGTGTAGGCATCACTTTTATGTCTTCATGGGTGAGTCTTCTTTAAGCCTTCATGAGGAAACAAAATAGTAAAATGATTTTAAAAGTGTAATTGGTCAGAAAATAGAAAATAATGTCCACAGATAAAACTGGCTGTCACCCAAAAATAACAATAAATGATGAAGAAATTGAAAATGTCACAAACTTTGAACATCTAGGCTCTATAATAAATAGCAATGGAGACTGTTTGACAGAAATTGTATAGAAAGATTCTCAGAATATCTTGGACAAAGAAGAGGAGAAATACTGACATGCTGAAAGATCCCAACATCAAGGAAAATGTGCTAATAAACATCATCCTGTCTCGGAAGCGGAAATATTTTGGTCATATCAAGTGCCACGACGGATTGGACAAAATTATAACAGACGGCATTGTACCAGGAAGGAGGTGCAGGGGCCAACCGACACAAAGATGGGCACAGGATATAAGTGTCTTCTTGAGTACGAAAGTACATGAGGCGGGAAAGCTGGCGAGAGATCGAGTTTCTTTTAGGCAGACCTTGATGAGAGCAATGTTCTGCAAAGGACCTGCTACATGATGATGGTGACGAATTGGTAAGAAAATCAAGAAGTGCTGACAACAGTTGTCTCGTGACCATACAAATGTCTCTCATTGCCACCAAGTCAAAATACTTTATTTGCTGAATTAGGTCATTGAATAGCCAAACTGGTACATGTGAAAAGTGCTTGTTTTGGAAAAATGTAGGCAGTCTAATTGTGTCGTTAGAATACAAGTTTTAAAAAGTTCAGGTCAAGAAGATCGACTTGATTGCACTGTATTGTTTTTTAAATCCTATGTGGATTAGTCTCCGCAAAACAGCTAGCTGCCTACTAAGAGGGTTGCACAAAGCACAGACTCCATCCTGCAGCAATGATCCCCATAAAAATTGTTCTAGTGAACTGAATGATGCTGTCCTTGAAATAGCTCCGCGACCTTCAAAGCACTGGCAAATGGCTTGACTACTTCACCACAAAGACCCCCCCCCCCTCCCCCTTCCCCCCATTTGAATAAAGTTTATCCCTATGTGGATTCTGGGGCCTGACTGCTGACTGACATTAAACCACAGCAGGACATCACACAGAGCAAAAAACACCTGTTGACACAAAGTGAAACCATTCAGATGATGATCACCCAGGATAAGTCCCAGAAACCCCGTTCAACCCTTAGGGTTGTAATTAGGGCCTCAACCGCAGCCGGGGGTAGGCTTCAAAATAATTAAAAAATTGCGTCCCGCAGGGGACAGAGATCAATAATAACTATTCTGGTGCCTTATTTGGATGTGCGGGGAAGGAGATAAATCCTCTTCTTCACTATCAATCATGTTATAAAAAGTGACTAATCAGGGGTATTTCCTTCAAAGTCGGGGCACATCTGTCTGAGAGGAAAGCAACCAATAGTCTGCATACAAATGGGCCGGATCTTTAAAACAGAAGTGCATGCAAAACTCAAGTCCTGGAATTGGATCAAAGTCCAGAAGTGGAAAAACAACAAGAAATCTTTGCTGACGTTTACAGTTGAAAAAGAATCAGAAGTAAAGAACCCTCTTCTACGCACTTAGGTATATTGGGTAAATAGTGCTAGCCTTTATTATAAAGGCCAGTTAGCACTGGGCGGATCATATGGTCAGCATCACACCGGCTGTCTTTACTTCCCAGGATCTGGGAGCCAAGGTAATTTTACAAACTAAAAGAAAAAGTCTAGTTTTGATGTGGATTTGAACTCATGACTTTCGGGCCTGCATATATGTGCCTAGCCACTACACCACAGTGGCTTCCCTAAGAAGAAGAAAAATAATAAAATTTTAATTGGTCAAAGTAGAGTAATCCAATACTGAAGAAGTCTTGAAAGAAACTGACTCATGAAGAGAATTGAATGCCCACATCAGAAAGAGACTATCTACATTCTTTGGTCATGTGATGAGAAGCAGAAAACTGGAGTACATCGTGATGGTAGGAAAGTTGGAGGGGAGGGGAGGCAGAGGAAGACTGAGAGAACAGATGCTGGACAGTTTGATATTATGGCATGGAAGATCATCTGTGTCAGAGTTGATTGAAAGTACACGGGACAGAAGGTTGGGGATAGTCATGACTACCAATGCAACACGGCATGGACTTTAAGGAGGACTAAGGAGAAGAAGAGTAATCCATGTACATGACATTAAGGCACGTTGGAGATCGGTGTTACACCCAAAATAAAGTGATCATCAATAGAAATATAGCAATTTACTTTTCATTGTGTAACGAAATTGTTGTATGAGTTGACGTTGATGGTTTTGTTACAATAGGATGAGGTGCATGAAAGAGACAGATTTACAGATTTTCTCCTACTGTGCTTGAAAGAGGCATTGCCACATCACCAGAATCTGCGTGTGATTTTAATGAGTGCTACATTGAACACAGACTTGTTCTCTGAGTATTTTAATTGCTGCCCAATAGTCTCAGGTCAGTATATATCTTGACAGATTGTATACAGTTACTGTTCATCTTTCTGTGCCTTTAACTTCCCAGTGAGCACATTTTGACAGTAAGGTCTCACTGGTGAGTGTTTCAAAGACAGGTCTGGTGGCCTCACACACACAGGAAGGATCTGCTGCAGGCTGATTCTTGGAAGGGCACCAATCTCCACAGTTGATGTGGTCACGGTTTCTGTGCTCTCATATGGCCCAGATTTATTTTCGCATCTGAGGCACATTGTTGTTTATTTGTTTGTATTGCAGCAGGGTAGTGTCCTTGAATCTTTAGAATTGCCTTGTTCATCAGACAACCCCTCCCACCAATTTCCTGAACACTCTTGCCATTGTTCATGTTTCTCATGAAATTTATGTTTTTTTTTTTGGGGGGGGGGGGGGGGGGGTCTATAGTCCCTGTTTATCTTTTTTCTACCCATAATTTTACAGTCTCTTGTCTCAATAATTAAACTGTCTTCTGTGCATAACAACAACAATGGTGGAAGCCACAGGCCGATATTCATCATTTTGTTTGAGACAAGGGCTCTGATTGGCTGCACAAAGCATTTCTTCAAGAAATGGACCAATGAAAATTTGTCATTTGTGCTGTGAGCCATGAAAATTGATTGTACAGGCCTCATAAAATGGAACAGTTTACAACTTTAATGGAGTCTCTAGGTCAACTACAAGTCGAGATACAATTTTTTAAAGTTTTTGCATATATGATGAGCTTTAAAACTTAGATAAATAAGTTAAAGACATGCTTCAGCAAATGCAAAAAATAGAGCTTTAAAACACATTCATTTTAAAACGCTTTTTGCACAGCTGTTTTCTACTATAGATGATTGTGAATTATGTACAGAAACCTAAAATGGTCAAAATGTATGGTTGTCATATTAGACCCTCCCCTTAATTTAGATAGCTGCAAGCATTGTTATCCTGTCAGTATGCCTTACTCTGTCAAAAGTTTTTGTGAAGTCACTAAAGCAATGAAATAGGTTTTAGTTCTCAAATGCAAATGTAAATATGTAATTTAAAAAAAAATACAAGTAAAGTTCCAAATTATTCAGTATCCACATTACATTGTGCTGTGTTGCATCATCTTATGTATATTTCCTTGCAGTTTCTGGAAATATGTTTCCTGTTGAAGAGTATTTTCTCGAAGACATTTTGAAATGGTATGTAACACTATTATGGTGACACAAATTATGTTGTAGAGTCTTTTTTTTAGATTAGAAAGGTTGGTTGTTTTGTTGGTTGTTCTTGTGGGTTCTCCCTTAAAAGGGCGGTTAGAAAGGTTGGTTGTTTTGTTAGTTATTCTTGTGTGTGTTCTCCCTTAAAAGGGTGGTTAGTGAGTTGTGTTACTGCTTACAGCTTGGCTGCAATATCTGCACCTTTCATCCCGACATATCTGTTTTCAACAAACTCCTAATTAGTAACTTTTATGACTGGGGGGGGGGGGGGGTATTTTGTGTCACCCAATAGGAGCCCTAAAACCCACACTGTGAGTTTTGTTGGTCAATCTCATGGAAAACCAGTTTGTAAATGTCTAGTTTGATACATTAACCTGAACTCTGAGAAGGGCTTTTGTCTATCAGAAAAATGTTGGTGTATAGACTTTTCTTTCTGGCTCGGTACACAAACAGTGTATCCATGGGGACTGTGCTGCATAAGCATCCCATCCCAACATCCAAAAGGATTTCTTTTTAAAGTAATGGATTTCCATGCAATACTACTTAATATACTGTACTTTATAGGTCATTCGAGACTCAGTGACTTTGTGGTAAACATCATGCCAGCAACATGAATTTTCTAGAAAAAGAGGACGTCCAAGGGAAACATTAAGAAGAACATTATTATGAGAGGCTAGAAATGCTAGACTGAACTCCATTTCAGAAATTTAAGAGTTGCTTGCAATAAAGGCGAGTGGAGGAATTGAATGCAAGCCCTAAGTGACGTCTTGACGGCTCACAAAGGATGATATATATATATATATATTTGTGTGTGTAAATGTATAAAAAAGGTAAAAAATATGTATATATATTAAAAAGAGCAAGAGAGAGCTGTGACAAGTTTTGTGTGCAGTATATTATGTCCTGAAATATAATTGTGATCCCCCGTGTGGGTTCCGGGGCCCCATTGTAGGGGAAAACAAAAATAGACCCACTGCCTCCCCAAAAGCATGTTGTAAGAGTCGACTAATTGGAGAGCTTCCTTTAAAGTCAGAGTGCATTATGCTGGAGATCAAGGAACCAACAGTCTGTATTCAAGAGAATGAGATCTGTAAAACTGATGCACATGCAACACTCAGGTTCTGGAGCAGGACTGCAGTTCAGTAATGGACGAGCAACCAGAACTTTCCGCCAGAGTGTACAGCTGGTGAACGCAAAGAAGAAGAAGAAGATAATTGTGATGTTTAGATATCAGGATTTCATATTTCAGAAGCAGCTTTTACATTAAAATGTAGTTGATAAAGTAAGTAATTGAATATTTTTCATATATTATTTTAGGACTGCATATAAGAACAAGGCAATGGACAAGGCGTTGTTGACGACGCAGAAATGTAAGCAATTTTTCTTCGTCATTGTATATTAAAGCGGTCATCATTCTATTGCGCTGTGAAGCATTAGATAGTGTTTGCAGATGATTCCCCGTCTTGTTGTAAACTGGACATCAACTGAGAATAATTCATTCAGTGAGTTGTGCTGATCAACACTGACTGTTTTTGCTGCCTGTTATTCTATCCCTGTAAATTTTAAAAAAGTAATAGTAAAAGCAAAGACTTGGAGTAACCAACTGGAAAGAGAAAGCCAGCCAGAGAGTTGAATAGAGAGGGGTTATTTCTGCAGCTGTGGACCTAAAGGGTGCGGAATGGGAAAGAATAAGAGGGATAACAGCAAACAGCTGTCATGATATTGTTTCACATACCACTGTGAATCCATTATTTGTACTAATTGCATGCAACACTTGTGTTGTAAGGTTTGCACATTGTCTAGTAACTGGGTATATCATACATTATAAATACTCCCAGAGTTTACCCTGTGTTTAACTTTTCCTGATCGTCTTCTTCTTCTTAGCATTCCCCTGCTGTAGACTCTGTCAGAAAGTATTGGTTATTTGTCAGATTTCAGACTTTGTTCTTGTTCCAGAATTTTAGTTTTGCACACACATCCATTTTACAAATTTGGCTTACTTGTATACAGACTGTTGGTGTCTTACCTCTCAGGCAGATGCATCTCTTCTTAGTTGACTTGCACACATACATGTTGGGGAGTAGTGGGTCTGTTCTGTTTTCTCCTAAAATGGGGCCTTCAGAACACTCACGGTGAGAATTTATAGTCAAAGATTGCTATATAAATATTTGTTACAAAATTAAACTAACACTGGATATCTGTTTGTTTTATTCATATGTGTTACTCAGTTGTTAAATATCACAAACACTGGTTTGTTCATTTTAACCCATGGGTTATTTATTTAATCACTTGTAAAATTTATAATAATTTATAATATTTATAATGATTTATAATATTTCAGAATAGTGTATTGTTTGTTATATCATACACAAAAGCTTAGCCACTATGAGCCTCTTTTAACAGCAGAGAAAAAATGGACATTGCAATGTTACGGACATGTCGTACCATCAACAGGCCTCACTAAACAAAACTACAGGGCTCAGTATGGGGGAAGAGAAGGAAAGACCTTGATACAGACCTAGGCTGACTAGACAGGCCTCAAACACACAAACCTGATGTCCATTGCATCTGACCAACAGAAGTTAAGGGAACTGATCAGACAGTCAAAGCAGCTTTTCACCCAGTGGCTCATCATGTAATGGGACCATTAGGATGATGATTTCAAAACAGCTAAGATATTTTGTATCAGTTTCGATATTTCTAATCAGTTGTGACATTTCTGATCAGCAAAAGTTCAGGAAGAGTGCCTGAGTGAATGGTGCAGTAAGCAGCTGAACATTGCTGAATCTGCAATAGGTAGTGGAACAGAGGAAGACTCTGATGTTACCACATCAGATAACGCAGAGGTAATATACTTTAGTAATATTTATATAGTTTACCTCTTTCCTAACAAGATTTGTATTTACTTATTCTTAGTGTTAGAACTTTAGTGTCATATTTAAGATAATTTTTATCCCACAATGTTCTGAATGTTTTATTGAAATATTCTTTTCATCTTCTGATATTTATCTTTTATGTTAGAACTTTAGTGTCATATTTAAGATAATTTTTATCCCACAATGTTCTGAATGTTTTATTGAAATATTCTTTTCATCTTCTGATATTTATCTTTTAGACTTATTTTGTAAACCTCTTAAAGTCTGCATGGTTGATAAAGATTATAAATCACATTATACCTTGCTTATTTAAGTGAAAACATTTCCAAAAGAAAGTCTTTGATAATCATTACTTGTTTGTGTCAGTCCACTGTGATCTTAAGGTACATCATTAGGAGCACCCTGTACCTATTCTAAAAAGGCATATTTCATATAGGAGCAAGTATTTGCAACATGGTTAAGATGGTCAAACTCATTGTACAGTGCAGCCTAAAATGACTCAAATGACCTTGTAGCCTCGTTTTGCATGCATTCCATCTTCTGCAGTTGGTTGTAAGACATTGTGAGCAGTCCCAGATCTGTTAATAATCATGAAAATAATTAGCTATTAGTTGAGTGTATGTGATGAATTCTGGATAATTTATAAACAAACCAAACAATTTCTTGAAGCCTCAAAAATGTGGTTTTTTAGAAGAATTCTTAAGCAAAATAGCAACCTCAATGTTTTGAAAGAGGTGAGGGTTCGAAGACAACTTATCACAAACATCAGAAAGAGACAATCATCATTTTTTGGTTATATTATGAGACGAAGAAAACTGGAACATGTTATGACCACTGGAAAGATCTATGGAGAAAGAGACAGAAGAAGACAATATGAGAAGATTCTTGACATCTTTCCTTCATTCTGTTGAAGTTCACAGATTGTGGAGAGCCATGATCACCCATGCCAGTCAGCGAGGCACTTGATGATGATGATGATATATGCTTTTCTCTATGTTTCTTAAAATATACGAAGGTCGAACTTTTATAGTCTGCTTTATCTACTCCTACTTACAGAATATGTTACTTGATATGTTCCATGCCATTTTGTGGAAAATGTAAATCCGTATCTTTCTGTGAAATAATTGTTGTCTTGTTGTTTCAGCTGGGAGAAGAAAAGGAAGAACTGGAACCATGGGTGATCGAAGAGATGGACAGACTGCTAAGAGAGGTGTGGTTGACTGGCAGTGAGGAGCTTTTCCATCAGATTCTGTATCTGATCAGTAGTGAGAATGTCAGTGGTGAGTGATACAGATTCTTTGTGTGTTTAGATTAATTTTGCTTATATCATGTTATTTTCCGGTGGTTGATTTACATTTATTTACAGGCAAGTGGCAGATCGATGGAATATCCGAAGCCGTAAATACCAGCAAACAGGGGCGCGCAAAAACAACATGGATCTTTGACATGGAAAACTGCACTGAAGATTGTGCAGGACAGGAAATCATCGAAAGTCCTTTCTGAAGCCTCATGTGCCACTAGGCATAACGAGAACTGATGATGATGTAAATACCGGCATCCTTATAGCACATACCAAGACTCGGCACCCACTGCATCTTCAAAACCTGACCCTGAAAGGCAGATCTGGACTAAAGAAGAAGAAAAAAATGTACATTTATATTTTCTTTACAATCTGAATATCAAAGAAAACTGGCTCATAAACAGCATCATTTCTCATAAACTTAACTACTTCGCCCATATTAAATGCCATAATGGTTTGGTGAGAAAAGTAATAGGGTTCCTAAAAAAAACACAGGGGTTGACCAGCACATTGGTGGACACAAGATAGCAAGTACTTCCTGGGCATGAAAGTACCTGTGGAATAGTTGGCTATGGACCAAATGGCTTTCCAGCAAGCCTGCTAGCCATTGCACTGTATTTCACTTCTTCTTCTTTAGCATTCCGATCCATTGAGATTCATTGCTGCAGATATCACCCGCCTCTATTCATTTCTCTGGTTAGCATTCTCTTTCCAGTTGGTGACACCAAGCGTTTGCAGGACTGTCTGGACATTATCTCTCCATCGTCCTCTTGGTATCTCAAATAAAAGGTAAATAAAAGATCCTTTTTATGCAGTGACGCATCAGGGATATGATGCTAGACTGTTATTTTTATAAACCAATCGGTGCTCGACGGGTGAAATGGTCAGCATCACACTGGATGTCTCACTTACCTTTCAGTAGTTATCATTCATTTAACGCTACATTTCAAATCTGTTTTGGTTTCTTAAGTTGACTATGTGCAGTCTGAAACGAGTACGACACCACTGATGATTGCTGCTGCTCGAGGATTCATTAACGTTGTGGAGCACTTGCTGAACCTTGGAGCCGATGCTGGTCTCAGAACATCCAACAACTGGACAGCTCTGGACCTGGCCAAGAAATTTCAGAGGAATGACATTCTGGAGTTGCTGGAGGCCCACCTGTAAGGATTGTTGTTTAAGTTTGTTTGTTTGGTATTCATTGCACAATTCTACCACACTAGCACTTTATGTTTAGCTTTTCTTTATAACAGATGCAGTTCTTCAATAATTATTGGTGTAAGTCAAGTTTTTTCAGGATTAGCATATGGGGGGTAGGGGTTCTCTTTGATAATACAAAAATAAATTAAATACTGAGCAAAACTGTGCAATACACATATTTTGCATAATTTTTTTTTAAATTTAAAATGTAAATATTTGCCAGAGTACCTAATAGAAGAAATAAGTTGGTATGACAAAATTATGTTAAGAAGTTCTGGAAAATGAGAAAGTAATTAATCAATTGTTTATGAATAGGAAGGGCACTTTCTAAGGTACCAGGCACTACCTTAACTACATACACATTCCTAACTCTTTCATTCCCAAGGAACGTATCATATGTTCATAGATTCCTGCCTGGAAACCCAATGAACACAAGGTGCACTATTTATACATCTTTCTTTACTATCCCTTGGACCACTGATGTTAAACCCCCTAGGACTAAAAGAATTAAGTCCACAAAAGAAATGTGAGGAGACTGACAGATGGAAACAAGAAGTGTAGAGAGGAGACGCTATGAAAGGAATGGCATGAGAAAGGATAGGATGTCATGGCTTGAGATAGTTGAGGACCTACCAAACCTCAGAGATTGTGAACACAGACAATTTTGACATTATGATTTATTAATTTTTCTTCTCTACTCGTCTTTTACTGCTTCGGGTGTTGAGGGAAATATAAGGTTCTGCTTTTTGCTCTTCTGGCTGCCTCAACCATAGACACATCATGCTTTTGTAGAGTTTCTCTAAGGTTATCTTTCCATCTTGTTCTTGGTCTGCCTTGTGCTTTATGTCCGGCTGTCTTGGTGTATGGTAGATGTGTTAATTAAATTTACAATACAGTTTGTTATGAATATAATAATTTATAGAACTGCTTTGTGGCTTAAAAAGTAAAGAAACAAAGAAGAAAAATCTTGAAGGCAGCAAAGATGTGGTTTCTGAAACAGGTTGCAAATACCATGATCTTTCAGAGTAACAACTATTGCATAAAAGAGTCTGATGAAAGTAAAATATTCATTCAAATGTAAGAAAGAGACATACTGTATTCTTTACTCCTGAAACTTCCAGTGTGAGTTCTGGGGCCCTGTTTTGGGAGGAAAAGAATAGGCCAATTGTCCCTTAACATACATCTAGTTTGAGATTGGAGGTGGAGGTGATCACCGCAATCTTCCGCTGGCTTGAAAACCAGCTGCACATACATGTCATGACTGTAACTGACTTTGAGAAAAGTGGAGATAGGTATGCTTTGTCCAAAATGGCAAGCATTGCTTCAGAGATTTTGGATAGTTAGCGTCCATTAGATATTTTCTCTAGGGTAAACCAGTTGTGGGAAATAAACAGACAGATATATTGGCTGGTTCTGCACCCCTTGATGGTCAGTTAATGATGGTACAACCTAGATGTGGTAAGGACCTTTAGCGTAAAGCAGGGGGGGGGGGGTGTGGATAAACAATGTGGGGGAACAAATAGATAATCATGCCCTGAAGAGAATGTTTGGATTAGGTCAAACACTCAGAGGAGGGGCAAGATGGACATATAGTCAGACTGTGTTACTGGTATCATCAGAACAACCTGCTGTTGAATATGGGGATGAAGCGTTTATGGGAATGTCCTAAGTGCTGGGATGTTGGTTCTCAACTTGCAATCCCATAACATGCTTTTTTGTAAGAGGTGAATAGTTAAATTTTTGCTGATCTCCGATGTGTTTGGTCGAAAGGTCAAGCTCTAAACAGCCTAGCTGTAGATCACAACACAACATGGCAGCTACCCTTTGAAGGGTGATTGCAGAAGATAAAGCAAGTAATGTAATGAGAAAAGTTGTACTGAAGAACAAAGTCAGTGATAGAAAGGGCTGGCCAAGAGAAATAATGCTAACTGGTACAAGATGGTAGCAGGAAAAACTAGACTTGACCCAAAACATCAAGACCCTGTAGAGAGACATATGCACTTATGCCGTTTAGCAGGATGTATGATCATGATTATGAAGGGTCTGTAGACTTTGAAATGTGTTTGAGGTAGAACATTCTTGGTATATCTGATGATCCTTTTAACTTTTTGTTTTTTTAAGAGCATCGCTGGATTTGGCTCATAATACAGTCAGCGAAGACTTGCAGCTGGTCTCGGAGGAGGACAGGGAACTTCTCTCCGTCTATCAACACAGCTTTGATGATGAGAAAGTGGATATTAATCTGGTCACTTGTCTGATCCACCAGATCCATACAGGGGAAAGAGAAGGTAATTAATGAAGATTGAAAGTAGTTGTTTTTTTAATAAATTATAGTAGATTAATTTCATTATTTCAGTGAGAAGAAAGCCCTCAAAAGCCCCATTTTGTGGTAAAAGGAGGGCTTATCACTGGGTCAGTAAACACAACATTATTGTGTTTACTGTCAAGTTACCTAGAGTTTTGACTCTAATTTTGCACATTGACATGAAAGAAAACATGTGTCCTTCAAGAAATGAAGCCAGGTTTAGTTTAGCTAGAACACCTTTGCACTGGAACTAATCAAAGCAAAAGAAAACCAAATACACAGAGAAGAGAACTGGAGGCAGAGGTTAATAAGATGTTAAAGTCGAGAGGGTTGACTTCATGGTACTGGGTTTTATCCCATTTGGTTGATATCTCTCCTCAGAATGAAAGTATCGCACAAAGCATGGACTTTATAGCTCCAGCGACAATCCCCCAGGATTCTCCAGAAAAAATGCCTGCCTGTGAACTGAATGATGCTTCCGTCAAATGAACCCTTGGCCTTCTGAGCATGAGGTTAGACCACTTCGCGCGACATGTAATGAGCTGAACATGTTGATAAAGGATAGAATGGCTTTCCCACAAGTTGGTTAAGGATCTGTGCTCCACAGGAATAAATAGTAGAAGCAGAAGACCCTCCCACCCCACCCCTCGCCAAAGTCAGTTGTTTAAGACACCATTATATGAAACTGTAGATCTGTTATGTTTTAAGCTTGTTACAAGGGGATGTAGCCTAGTGGCTCACTCAGCACTTTCCTGCTGCCCCAAAGGTCTAGCGTTCAAGTCTGCATTAGGTGGATCTTTTTTAAAACTGACCTTAGCTCCCATGTGACCCACCCTTAAATTGGTAGCAGTTTGACCTGAGAAGTAAAGGTGACCGGTGTAATGTTTACCACATCGCCGATTGGTCTACAAGGATACAGGTGTAGACTATACACTTGATTAACCCAAGGCATGATAGGATCCTTTTTACTTACCATTGAGAGTAAAGGTACCACCAATTTCTACTGATACATCTAACCTTTACTTTTACTTACCATTGAGAGTAAAGGTACCACCAGCTTCTATTGACACATCTAAACAGACTAATATTTTTGTATTATTTTCTTTTTTGTTAAATTAATTGTTTAAAAATTAATTTTTCTTTTTAGGAGCCATCTTGGTATTTTTGCCTGGATATGATGAAATCATGAATTTGAAAGTCGCTATAACGGAGGATGTTCGTTTTCAACAATCCAGGTGAGTTTCACATCTGTTGTTTTTTCTTTCTTGTTAATAATCTCATCAGCAGTGGGTCTCAACCTTCCCAATGCCGCGACTCTTTAATACAGTTCCTTCATATTGTGGCGGCGCACCCCCCAACCCCCCCCCCCCCCCCCCCCAATTATTTTCCTTCATACTGTCAGTGAATATGTGTTTTCTTAGACGGCCTAAAAAAAAGGTTGCGACTGGCAGGTTGAGAATCACTGTTCTACAGCGTTACTGATGGCATTAGAGGGAAACAAGTTTGAAACTGGGTTTTGTCATTTTTGTTTTTTCTGTTTATTTTTTAATTTGCAAATGTTTTTTATGCTGTAAAAACATTTAACCCTTTGAATTCCAACCCCTCACCCCCCCCCCCCTTTCCACCCTTATGTGAGTACCAAGGCCCCATTTTGAGGGGCCTTTATTATTGCCTGGAGAGAATGAGGCACCTGGGTGTAACCAGAGGGTCTGGCCGGCTCACTACACTCAGAGGAAAGGCAAGACGGACTTTTAACCAGATTGTGACTGGTACCATCAGTATTGGAACTCTGCGCTGGCTGCTGAAGATGAGGACGGAGCATGCACGGGAATGCTCCGAGTGCTGTGATGTAAATTCTTGACTCAACTCTACTCAACTCATTTTGAGGGGGGTGAGGTAGACTCACTGTCCCGAACAAGCATATCGTAAAAGTTGACTAATTCGGAAGTTTCCTTTGAAGTTGGAGTGCATCAGCCTGAGAAGCAGGTAACCAATAGTCTAGCTGGAAAAAAAAAATTTGCCAGATCTATAAAATGGATGTGCATACAAAACTCAAGCTCTGGAACAAGACTAAAGTCCAGAAGTTGGCAACCAACCAGAATTTTCTGCTGGAGTTTACAGTTGGTGCTAAGAAGAAAAAGAATTCTTGTTTTAATATATCTGTCCTCCTATTTCTGCTTTCACTGCTACCTTTAAAGTTGTATCATTCTAGAATTATTGTCAACACAGGACTGCAGGTTACACCACTTGTAACTTCTTTGGAGGTTTAACAGAGTGTTTGGAATTTTCCCTGTTGGTTTACCATCTGAATTCTTTTTTTGTTGTTTGGCATTCATCTTTAAAAAAAACGTTGGCACTTTGTGTTAGGCTTTATAGCTCAGCTGTAATTTCTCACCTTCTAGCCCATCACATCTTATTTCAGTAAACTCCTAACTTACCTTTTATGACATAATTGTTAGAGTGCCATGGATCTGTTTTATCCCTCAAAATGAGGTCTTAGAACCCACACAGGGAATCCATGATTAGATTCTTGAATTCTCAGGGGTGGGTCAAACTTTTGGTTAGCATCCTGGGAGTGGAGAAAATTGACCGAGATGTTATAATTCCACCTCTTGAATTGAGCCACATGTCTGCTATTTAAAGGTAACAATACAATCTACTTCCAGGTTTGTCATCTACACACTTCACTCATCACTGCAGTATACTGATCAGAAAAAGGTGTTCAAGCCATCTCCTCAAGGAATAAGAAAGATAGTAAGTCTCAGAACAGAATGTCTTGTTTGGTAGTAAAAGTTTATTTTTCAAGGAATAATAAGGACTGTGTGTAAAGACCAAATGTCCTATTTGTGTGCTATCTGTACTCCTCAGGGAATAATGAAGTCTCAGAACAAACTATCTTGTTTAGTAATACAAGTTTACTAATCAAGGAATAAAAAGAAAGTTTCTATGGGCAAAATGTTATTAGTAGTAAAGGTGTGTTTTCTCTGCAGGCACAACTCAAATTCTGTAACAAGTCTAAAATCCAGAGGTTGACGAACAACGAGAACTTTCCACTAGAGCTTAAAGCCAATGAACGCTAGAATTAAAATGAAACGTAACATTTATGATTAATATAATTTGCTTTCTTAGAACAGTAACTCATGTTATTTCTCATCTTATAATACATTTATTCTATGAACTTTTGCAGATTTTATCTACAAACATTGCAGAGACTTCTATCACCATCAATGATGTTGTTTTTGTTATTGACTGTGGCAAAGTGAAAGAGGTATGTTCCCCCTCCACATTTTACATCATGCTCATTATGTTTGTTAATAGTAAACATTTTGAAAATTGCATTATAGGGGATAGAAGATGCTTTTAAAATAATTTGGCTCATAAATGAACGGAATGAAGGATTAGACTGTGAGTCCTATATGACATAAAATAAATTGCATAACGGGGTGATGATGATGCTAAGCTGGTAGTGCAGTAGCTATATGCTTGCCTGCTAGACAAAAGTAGGGTGAGAGAATGGAGGTGGAGGTGGTAACTGCAGCTCTCCGGTGGCTAGAGAACAAAGTGCATATACATGTCATAATTGTAACAGACTCTGAAAGCATGCTGAAAAAAAGGTGAAGACAGGGTTGCTTTGAGCAGAGTGGCAAGCTTCACTGGAAAGGTCACAGGTAGTGAGCATACTTTGGATCTTTTCTCCAGGCCATGCTGGCGTGGTGGGTAATGAACAGGGAGACAGATTGGCTGGATCTGCAACCACTGGGTGGTGAATTGTTAAATGACAAGGCAGATGTGGTCACGGCTCTTAGGTAACAAGCAACATAATCAGTAGAGAAACAAGATTATGACCTGGAGAGAATGAGGCACCTGTGTGTGATCATAGGGTCTGGCCGGCTGACTACACTCAGAGGAAAGGTATGACGGACATTTAACCAGATTGTGACCGGTACTATCAGTATTAGAACTCTGCGCTGGCTGCTGAAGATGAGGACGGAGCATGCATGGGAATGCCCCGAGTGCTGTGATGTCAATTTATAACTCAACAAAATTAAGGTTTGAATCCAGACAAAGGATTTTTTGTTTCTTCTTCTAATAATTGACCTTAGCTCCCAGCCTAAAGTTTGTTTCAGGAAATGTAAAGTAAAGGTGGTCATTTTTGTTTCAACCAAATTACTCATCAGGTGCTGATTTTATAGGTTTAGCATGATATGCCTAATCTGCTAATGACTTGAAAATCTTGCATGACTCACTGAACTTACTAGCTAATGTGTGTTTAAAAGTTAGATGGATAATTGGGATAAGGAAGAAAGTGAAAGATCAATAAATAGTATTTTAACACATACTGTGACTAGGAAAGGTAAAGATACATACAAATAGTTGGTTTAAATACCTTTTTAACAGGGCTGTTCTGTTTCTGAATTTTTTTTCTTTTCGGGGAGGGGTGGGTGGGGTTAAAAAAACAACATAACTTCCAAACAGAACCTAGGTTCCTGATCAGCCAGTCCTGAAGCCTTTTCCTTCACTAAATGAAACTGTAGCGAAAGAGCAACTTTCACTCTTTGCAGTCTCCTGTAGTCTTTCAGAGGTATTTTGATGTCTGATGCAGAGCACAGAGAATTCTGAGAGAGAGGTAAAAAATTACTTCAGGCAAGCTGGGGCACAAATGATTTACAGAACCCATAATTCTTGGTTTCGCCAGTTTTTTTTTTTTTTTTTTTCAAAGTAATACGGACCACAGCAGAAATTGAATCTTAGTATGTAGAGGTTTATGAAATTGTGAAATGAATTCACTAATATTTCATTAACAGAGTTCATTTCACATTAATTCTTATGAGGGAAATGGTATCAGTGCTCCACAACTCTGTTTTTGAACAACTTTCAAGAATTAATTAAGTTTGAGAATGAGGTTTTACAGACTATCAAACACTTCCTTTCTTGAGTTTCCTAGTCATAGTTTGTTGCTGTATGAACCATGATAAGCTGTCGTAACAACACTTCCGGTTTGTGCCATGCCCCCATAAATATCATTTTACCAACTTTGTTATATTGGCTGGTTCACAAGAAGCAAAGCTGAACAGCATGGTATCGTTTGCACCTACACAAAGTTTAGGATTATTGGGACTGATTATGTTTGCTAACAATAGCATTTAGATGGTGTTTTCTTGTGAAAAAAAAATTGCTTTTTTTAATAACAAATTATCAGAATTTCTTGTTAATCACAATGGGAACCCAGGTCAAGAAAGAGTCACGATATAATTATTTTTCGGCTCAAGAGGTGTAACCTAGTTAATTCTCTGCTGTATTTCTGTTTGCTGATTAATCCCCCTATTCTGTATTGAATTTAGTATTGTTTTAATGATTGTGTTCGGGAATTTCCAAAATAGGGTCAGTGGCATTGTTTTTTTTTTTCTAGGCCACTGATATGACGGTTAAGTTAACTCTGTGAAACAAGGGAGTAGCTGAGAGATATTTTATTTTTCTCTATTAGAAAACCTATGATGCTCTGACATCCTTGACAATGCTAAAAAGCAACTGGATATCCAAAGCCAGTGCTCTGCAGCGAAAGGGAAGGTATGTATGTTTATGTGATATGTTGGTTAACAAAAATATCAAATTACACTTGATTAGATACTATGTTTCCTCAAAAATAATACCCAACAAGGAGAATGAGCACAGACATTATTTTTTTTAGCTTGCTTGTAATGTAAGCTTACCTCCAATGTAAGCTCTTGTTAGGATCATCAGCCAGATATACAGATTTTGTCTGTCCGTTAAAATACAAGACACATGATGGGCGTTTTTGAATTATAAATTAATAAATGTATAAACAAAACTAAATAAATAATAATGTTGACAATCATTTATTCTTCAGAAAAATTATGATTTACAATAATACTCAAGCTGGCACCTTTTTCGTACATGGAAACAAGTCATCCCCTTAAAATGAACCTTAAACTTTTGGAGAAAAACCTAATTTAAGACGCAGCCTTATTTTCCTGGAAACACTGTAGTACAGTTCTGTCCTAAACTGTCATAGTGAAAGTTATAATGATACTTTGGAAACCTCTGTTTCCATCTTTAGGATTTCTGACACAAACACTTAGATAAACATATGTCTTAACACTTGAAGACAGTGTGCTATATGCATGATGTTCTGTCTATCAATCTTTGCTCCAATAGTCAGAATTTTCTTTTTAAAATCTGTTTTAAGACACCATTTTGTGTTCAGTAAATAATTCTGTATTTCCGAGAGGTAGACAGATAAATTATTGTTTACTTATACTTAATCCTTTTAATCCAGAACAAGGTGATTTTTCAGTAGCAAGCGAATAGTTCTGATTCCGGTGCCATTAACTGTCTGATTGTACATCTGTCTTGCCTTTTCCCTTGAGTGCTGAGCGTCGGCCAGATCCCCTGGTAACTCCCCACAGCACCATTCTCCTCAGACGTAATGATCTGTTTGTACCGCCACACTGTTCATGTGCTCTCAAAGGGCCCTCACAATATCTAGCTTGTCATACACCAATTCACCACAAAGTGGTGCAGAACCGGCCAATTTATCTGCCTGCTCGTTTCCCAACACACCAACATACTTGGAGAAAATATTAAAAGGACGCTAACTACCCTGGTCAGCAGGGTTAATAAAACATTACTTTAGCTTCTACGTTGGCCCATCTTAAAATGGGTACTAGAAAAGTTTTATGGGAATTAAAGACAGCTGACACGAGGTTGACCACATCACACTTCAGTTGCCGATACTCGTATAATATTGATCTAGCACCCTAAGATAGAAGCGTAAGTGGCATTTAAACGGTCAACTTACTTTGCCTACTGTGCTCCCTCCACCGCTTTCTTAATGATCCAATTGACATTTTGTGTTTGAAAGCCCCGCTCTTGTGGTTCTTCTTCCTTGTTATGTGAATTGTTAACATCTGTGGCATGAGTTTGCATTTTGTAAATGATAACATTAATTCACAGCACATAAATAACCCAGTAAAATGGATGTAAACACAAAACTCAGGTTCTGCCACAAAGACAAAGTCCAAATGGCTGAGCAACTAGCACCTTCTGCCGGAATTCACAGCCTGTGAACACACACACAAATTTGGTTCATAGCAGTGCCTGAACACATTGCCTCTTTAATGCTTTCCAGGGCAGGGCGTTGCCAGAGCGGCAAGTGCTATCATCTGTTCAGCCGATCCCGGTACATGCACCTTCAGGACTACCAGACCCCAGAAATTCTGCGATTACCTCTTCATGTAAGATGTTTTGTTCAAGAACTGTCTTTATCCATTATGTTGCTTATTGTTTATGTTATAGTATAAAGTTAGGCTGTATTATTGTGGTGATGCTGTCTTGTGTGTCATATACTGTTTCCGACATAATGTCGGGTTATGTTATTTTGTAACTTCAGCTTTTTTGTCACATATAGTTTCTGTTATAATTTTGAACTATATTATTTAGATGACTTTTTCTATTGTATCACCTATAATTTCTTTCTTATTTTTTAGTTAAGTTAGTTTGGTAACTTTATCTGTATTGTCACACATTGTTTCTATTATACGGTTGGATTATATTATTTTGATGACAATCTATTGTGTCACATTGTTCCAGTTATACTGTAGGTTTAGCTTTAGGTTTAGACGATGTATCAACATCATGGCACAAGGATAGTAACCCATAAGTGCACCGTTCTACTTCTGACTCAAGCCTGAGTTCGAAATGCACGAATTCTGTAGCACCGGCGAGGATTCTTAAATACTTTGGGTAGATTTTAAACTCCAAAGTTTACCCTGTTGGTGCCGTTGGGCTACTCTTTTCCGATTTCCAACTGCCAGGGAATTTGTTACACGTTCAACAATACACACGGGCATCCAATCTTATTACCTGGAGACCAGGAGAAAAAATCCCAGGCTTCACCCAGGACCTCCAGCACCCGAGGCAGACACCATGGTTCAAGACCATTCAGCCCCCCCCCTACGATAACATTTTATATTAACACATCTTTACCTGTGCAGGACTGCAGGATACACCTGGCTGGTGTAGCTGTTATCAGTGTCTAAATTGTAACTTCTTTGGAAGTTGAACTGGGTCTCTGGAATTTTCCATGCTGATCTGTCACCCGGCATGATATTTTGTAATCTCAGGGTGGTCAAACCTTCAAGCAGCAGCCCAGACAGGAAAAAATGAACAGGCGGACAGACCTTACAACAAATTGTTAAAATTGTAGACTATATTATGTTAACGACCTTAGCTATTGTGTCACATATTGTTTCTGTTATGATGATGGACTGTATTGTTTTGGTGATTATATATAATTTAATATTAGTGTTACCTTTCCTTTGGGGTAAAAAGGCAGGCCAGAAAGGAATCATGATGCATGGGCAACACACAAGTCTCCTCAATACTGCCCAGGCTTTATGCTCTGTAGAGGAGGAACTTCCTATGCCTTTAAATGGCAGAATATAACATTTGTATCACATTTTCTTTTTAAATTGTACACTTTTTAGATGATCACTGATTGTGTCACAGAGTTTTGTCTGTATTAATAATTTTGGGGTGTACTATTTTGGTGTCCAAATATCATTTACCACATATGGTTTCTTGTTGTAATTGTAGACTACATTTAAGAGATTCTATCCATTTTGTCAAATATTGTTTCTTTTATAATTGTGAACTTTTAATTGACCTTAGCTGTTGTGATCTTGGTACTGCACTGAAGCAGATTTGATGCCAAAACCTTCAGCAGGCAGGCCCACACTTGGCCACTGCACTACCCTGACTCCTCACATCATTTGTTGTAATTCTGAATATTTTGTGCAATTTTTCAGGAGCTGTGTTTGCATACCAAGCTGTTGGCTCCAAACTCCCAGTCAGTGGAGACTTTCCTTAGTAAATGCCCACAGGCACCTCCACAGTTGGTCATCAGAAATGCCATTCAGAATTTGAAGGTATTAACTTACTCAGTTCTAATTATATTGACTGACTGACTTTCTACCCCACCAGGACATCACATAAGCGATAAACACCCGATGACACAATGTGCCACTATGTGGATGAGGATCACCGTGGAAACCGCGTTCAGCCATCAGGCCATATTTATGGCCGGGCTATATATTGCGGCCCCTGGCAATAGCCAGAGTAGGGCTTCAAATAAAGAAAAATTTCATCCTAAACAGGAAGAGAAAATTATTACAGATGTTCTAATTATAGAAAATTAGCAGCTGGTAACAAGAGACTTTGAGGTCTGCTGTTAAAAGAAAGAAAACCCCATAGGAAAAGAAAATGAGAACATCCCAGAAACAGTGTCATCATACATGTTTGTAAAAATTATCACATTTCAGACTCATTCTCAGCTGAAGATAATTTAAGGAACAGTGACTTTATTTGAGCAGAAAACCACCTCATTTGCAGTCTTTGGTCTCACGTTTAGAAGTACATGGTGGTTATTGCCCTTTGGATATTTTCTCCAGGATATGCAGGTGTAATCAGATATGATCCAGCAGATAGACTGGCTTGCTCTGCACCAGTAGGTGATGAATCGAGGCATGACTCGCTAGATGTGGTCAAAACCCTTTAGAAGCAAGTGAACAGTATGGAAGCATAAGTAGATCATTAAGGTCTGGAGAGAATGATGCAGCAAGCAGTGACCAGGATATTTGGTTGATACTCAATACTCATAAGAAAGGAAAGGCTGTCGTATAATCAGACAGTTACTGGGTACCATTGGATTAGAACCCTGCACTGGCTGCTGAAGATTGCTTGCTAATGGGAATGTTTTAAGTGCTATGATGTTGGTTCTTAACTCAACTGATCTGACCTGATTGTGCTGATGATGTATTGTTGTTGCTGGTGAATCCTTTAGAAGACTGAGAATTTTAACTCAATTAAGTCCAAAATATTGGTATTTAGGTCACCTGAGTCCTGAAAAACACATCTGTTTATCAGAATGAAGATGTTATTTTATAGACTTTCTGCCATTCCAGAACTAAAGTACCGCATCCTTGGGATCTGTATTGCATACTCTCCTTCCTTTCTTCATAGCCATGACCTGCTTTGCATGGCAAATATCAAAATGAGATGACTGCAGTAAAGTTTTGAAAGTCTTAAAACGATTAGAAAAACAGGAATATGTCAGAAATATGTCAGAAAATGGGGCTAATTACATGTACAATTGACAAACAAAGCATGTTGCTGGGATTAGCTTTCATCAGCAGAACAGATTTGGTACCCTTCTCTCCCACCCTTTGCCCCTGGTAATCAGATTTCCCTAACTGCCTCCCCATTCGTCTGTAAGAGGCATACCTATTTGATTTATTTCCTTTACAAAATTTGAAGCAGTCCATGCAAGTATCACCTACTGTATATAATTCTGTCACTTATTATTAGTTTATTTTGATCTGTTTATTATTAGTTTGTTTCATTTGTTAACATAATATTGGAATACCCTAGAGAAGTCATTTCAGAGTCAGTTCATTTGGGTGTGTTGTGTTTCTTGTCGTTTATTCTGCTGATGAAGGCTAATTACTGCAAGATTCTTTGTTTGTCTGTTGTAATTGGTCCTGAAAAGCTGACATTTATTTTATGTTTGTCCAATCTTTTGTCCATGGCAAAGAAAGCACTAGTCAGATGGAAAGAATTTGCGGTAAATTTTCATTATTAAACTGCCAGGTTCCCCTTGCAGTTGTTCTTGGCAATGGTCAACATTTCTGGTTTGCCAGACTGCATACTTTCTTTCCTAACATGATGTCCCTTGTAATATTAATCAAGCCTAAAATGCTGCAGAAAAAGGACCTGAATTTAATCACAAGAAGACATTATGCACAAATGTGGTGGCTGCTTATAAATAGACCTTCCACAAATGCTTCCAACCCTAGCAAGTTCACAAGGAAATATTTTTACTGACTCATGGAGACTAGTTTGAAGGAGTTTAGGCTTTCAGACATCCATGTGAGTAGCTGTATTTTTCCTGTCCACAGTTAAAATACTTTCTGAATAGACCCTGTAAAAGCCATTTACAGTTAAAACCAGTGTTCAGGCTTAGTATTTGTTTTTAAATATCCATTCACTCATTTTTTTTTAATTTGATCTCGGCAGCATACTTTCAGTTTCTTTAATGACATATAGTGTTGCTAAGCTTATACCTTTTTTATCTCAGAAAATTGATGCTCTAGACACCTTCGAAGATATGACAGAACTTGGTCAACACCTTGCTGATCTGCCTATAGAACCAAGATTGGGCAAGATCATTCTGTATTCTGTTGTGCTGAAGTGCCTGGATCCTGTTCTCACTATTGTCAGCACATTGTCCTACAAAGAACCATGTATGTACTGTTTGATGTTTTGGAAGGAACTGATTATGTATGTGTGAATGTGGGTGGGGTGAAAAAGGTAGGCGGGGAGTTTCTTTGGCACTGTTCTGCAAGGAACTGATTACATTTTAGTGATTATTTGGCACTGTTCTTCAAGGAACAGATTACATGTTAGTGTTTATTTGGCAGTTTTACAAGAAACTGATTAAATTTTAATGTTTATTTTACATTGTTCTGCAAGGAACTGCTTATATTGTTTATTGTAGTTGACACTTTTCTACAAGAAACTGGTTATATTTTAGTGTTTATTTTGCCGTTCTACTGATAATTGTTTTGTATCATTTATATGAGGCTGTTTTGTAAAAAAAAAAAACTGATTATATTTACGGTTTTTTGAGCACACATTTTTACAAGCAATTGATTATATTGTAATGTTTATCTGTCAGTTCTGCAACGAACTAATTATATTTTAGAATGTATTTGATACTGTTCTGTAAGGAACTGATTATACAGAGTGCTTCGTTTAAGGTTACTCACTTTAAAAGGGAGTTAACACATTGATTGTACGTAGCATAAATGAATACAACGGAAGATTATTAAGTAAGTCAGTGTACTGGTCTCACAAAACGTGCCTCTTGTCTTGAATACAACATTTTCCAGATGTCCAGGTACAATTGCCATGACTCAACTTAGAGTGTCCTGCATAATCTCTTCACAATCTCCTGACGAATTTAATTTTTAAAGTCATTAATGTCAAGGAGGGTCTGAGTGAAACTTGAGATTTCAAATACCTCCATTCAAAAAAGAAAAAGATAAGGTCTGCTGCAGTGAGGTCTGGTGAAGTGGAAGCAGTAACAAACAGTTGCACTACAATAGCCCAACGTTTGACTTGCAAATCAAATTTTGGGGGCCAAGTGACCTATTTACCATTGTGTCCTGAGAAGCTATGAGATCAGCAGGTCAGTGCTGTAATTGCTGCTTATACCTCACGGCTGCAGTGATTTATCCCCAAAAAGCCTAGTTAATGGCAGTGGTTCTATTTGTGCCTGCAGTATTCAGGAGGCTCTGGATATGGTTATATTTATTTTTAAAAGAGTGTGGGAAAATGAAGGGGGGGGGGGGGGTGTCTTGTAAAACAAAAAAATGGCCTTTTAAAAGCCATTATGACATCGTAACATGCTCCTAGTCTAGTGTTAGAATTTCTATGAGGTCATGGTATAATTTGGGAGTCGCCATGATGTAGTGGCTAGACACTCAGCTGCAGATTGGAAGGTCATATGTTCGGGTCATGGCATAGCCAGACTTTGTTTTGTTTTTTTTGTTTTTTTCAAGAACCTTGAGTGGGTGACAAGTGCAGTCTTAGGAAGTAAAGACGGCTGGCGTGATGCTGAAAACATCATGCACCAAGTGCCATAATGTCTTTAAAAATACAGGTCTAGCCCTATGTTCCCAGTACGCCTTTTTACTTTAAATGGTATAAGTCATCCGATACATTTCTTTTTACGCCCAGGGGACTATAATCTTTTTAATTCTTCACTCCGTTCATGCTTATTGACTGTAATTTTATATTTTCAGGAACAGATTTAAAATGTATATAAATGCAATAATTTGTTAAAAACTATTTGGCCTCTAAAACAGGCTTGTTTTGTAAAGATTATTTGGGGAATTTCCTGGGTTCTGGGCGATATCCTTTTTTTTTATTAAGCAAAGACATTGTGGTATCAAAGGGTAAAGATTTGTTTCTCATTATAGCAATTTAGAAAGGCTCTATTATTAATATATGTTTTTGAATATCACCTCTGAATTTGAAAGAAAACCCTTTCATTCTCATTTCAGTTATAATTCCAGCCTTACCATCAGAGAGAAGGTCAGTCATGGGGAAAAGAAAGAAATTTGCTGAAGATACATACAGTGATCATATGGCTTTTCTTCGAGCATTTCAGGTGAGAATGTCAGAAATCATTCTTCTTCTGCATTGCTTCTTTTTGCATAGGCCTTTCGCCCCAGAAATATGTATTGTATTGTATGAATTCATATAAATTGAATAGTATTGAGAGATTCTATAGGGTGTTCCATAAATCCTAACACAGTGACTTTGCTTCATGCTGACATAGTTTCACATTACAAACTACACAACTCTCATGGCGAGGTACACAATTATTTCAAGGCTTTGACTGTGGAGGGACTTATGGTACACTCTGTGTGTAAATTGTTTAAACAATATGCTTTATCATTTCCTTATTTGTACATTTCTTTTGAAAAAAAATATCTTCTGTTAAAAATCTGTTAATGTCAAGAAAATAGTCACATGGCAGAGACTACATCTGGAATGTGAAGCATTTGGCCTTAACATGTTTTAAGCCAGGAAATAATGAGGTGGGTAGATACTGGAAGTATAGGTGGCATTCTGGATGCTGATCATATCATCCATAGAGTGCTGAGTGCTCCTTTCTACTTCTAACTCATGCCTGCATCTGAAGATTCTCAGCACAATGCATGAACTCTGTAGCACCGATGAGGATCCTGAAATACTTTGAGTAGATTTTTAACTCCAAATTTGGCCTGGGCAGCTCTGTTAAGCTACTCTTTTCGATTTCCAACTGCCAAGGGATTTATTCGTGCGCAACAGGGGCATCTGATCTTACTACCCAGAGACCAGGGAAAATTACTAGAGGTCTATATGAAAAAATTCCAGCCTTTGCCAGGGCCTGAACCCAGGACTTCTAGCACACAACAAATGCCTGCAGAAGTCAGGTGTGTAAGCTGAAAGGAATTAATATCCCTATAAACGAGCGCAATGCAGTTACATCTTTCGATAAACACAACAGAAGATATGCCAGATGCACTACTAGCGTGAAAAAGGTCCTTTACCTACTTATTTTAGATGCTGATTAACTCTCTCATCTCATAAATTCTCCTTGTTGGTCCCAGGGCTTCTTTTGACAAGAATGTTGACTAATTAATGCGACTAATTAGGGGCATTTTCCTTCAATTTGGGATGCATCTGCTTTAGAGGTGAGAAGCCAGCAGTCTGCTTACAAATAAGCCAGATCTGTGAAACAAATGTGCACTCAAAATTAAGGTTCCGGAACAAGATCAAAGTCTGAAAGTAGATAAACAACCAAGACTTTCTGCTAGAGTGTACAGGCAGTGAATGTGAAGAAGAAAAATCTTTCATGAATAATTAAAAAACATTTCTGAAAATTGCCTACGGTCCATTTTTATAGGTCTATCAAATCTAGAGTTCATCTGGTTGGAAAAATATATTTCTGGCTGTTTTGGATTAAACCCATACTGTTGACTTAGAAGTGTGTTTTAGTTAAAATTGTATATTTTTAAAAAGACTTTTTGTGTGTTCAAGTTGAATTATTATTACATACATTTTTTATCCATTAACTACTAGAACAAAACCTATGCTGTGACAGAAATAATGTAGTGACCTTTGTCACCAGCTGTATTTTAATCATTACAGCACAGTTTTGTAATTTATAGGACTTTTATTCATCAATATGATGAATGAGTTAAAGCATTTTTCTTTGCTGTTTTCCAACTTCATAATGTTCAACAGTGTATGGTAATGAGTGTTTAGTAATTTGGAAATGAGTCAAATGAAACTCAGTGCGTATTATTCCAGAGCTGGCAAAAAGCAAGAGCAGAAGGATGGGAAAGGGCATTTTGTGAAAAGAACTTCATCTCCTCCTCCACCATGGAAATGATTCATGGAATCAGGTAAGCAGCTTTCATTCATGTTCTTGTACTGTCCATGTTATTGGGGCGGCAGATAGTCTCTCTCTCTTACAGCATAAGACAATCCAAATCTGCAGAAAGAAATATCTCAGACAAAGCATATTCATTCCCACTCTATGCTACCAGTGCTAGACATGGCAGCTCACAAGAAAGCAGAAAAGGAAATTAGTAAACATGGAAATGAGATGTCTGAGAAATGTTGCGGATGTGACCAAAAGAGATCAAATTAGAAATAAGGTCAAGAGACAAAGTCGGCACAGAAACAATCCTAAATTACAAACAAAGACATCAAATCAAATTGTTTGCTCACTTAGAGAGAATACCTTTTGGCAACATACGGTAGAAGGCATACACTAAAAGAGTAGAAGGACATAGAACACAAGATAGACCAAGAACATGATGAACAAAATCAGAGAATCTCGATGACACCATGACGCATCACTGGTGGAGGTGGCCAGTGGAGCAGAATGCAGAACCTTAAATCTCCCTTAACACCCAGAGTGGTAAAAGAGCAATTGAAGAAGAAGAAGATGAACTGTTCAGACAGAATGCATTTTTATATACCAGTTATAAGCAATGCCTATCGTTATTAATTTGTATTGTTCAATATTGTCTGTTTCTTTCACTTCTTGCCGGTTAATCCTGGAAATAATTTTTTGTTCGGTTGTGCCCATTTATGACTGACTCTGTTTTTGTGTTTATCTGTGCATTCAATTTCATCATAGCATTTTGGGATTGTGATGTAGCCTTTTACCAGAACCACCACTTCCAGGTTGAGTTGGTTCTTGGTCAGCTCTGTTTTGCTGACCCTGGTAAAGCAGTCGAGCTCTTTTTTATAGTGACCATTTTAAACCAGTAAACTTTTTGATTTCTGTTGGGAAGTTAAACCTGTTGACAGGGTTAGCCTTCCCAGCTGTGATTGGCATCACATCAGCCATCTTTGCTTATCAGAACATTTCTTGTTACCCGTTTTAGGCAAGCCAGCCTGGGAGATCAGGTCAGTTTTAAGGAATCCCCAATTCATTGGTGATTTAAACACATGAACACTTGGCAGACAGGCACGCTTGCTATCTACTCTGCTACCTTGGCCCACTTTTAAAAGTATCAGAGTTATTTTGTTTTAACAGTTTGAAAAAATGAATACATTTTTAAAAATATAGAAACGTGCACAAAAGAGTTCAATGGGAGTAAACCACAAAGCAGACCAAGAATACGGTGGAGAGATATTATACAGAAAGACTTACAAGCAGTTGGCGTCACTTAAAAAAAAAACTAATTACTGCCTGTATTTGCTACTTTTAGGGTTTAGGCAGGGGGTCTTTGTACCTGAGGATTTACGGCCACATGGCTAGTGCAGCTAGGAGCTGCAGGTTAGGAATTTAATTTTTCCCTAAAAGGAAAATTCCATAACCCTATTAAGAATGTGAAACTGGGTCTCCTGTATCAGCCATTCGGCCAGCCACTTCTCAGCCATACTTGGAGTCACTTGGAAAGAGAAAGCCAGTCACAGAGTTGAATAGAGGTTTGTGACAGCTTTCAGAGAGGCCTGTCCCCTTCTTGTCTGAAAATCACTGGTAGGTTGAAGGAAAAAAATTAAATATATTTTAACTGAAGAGACAACTTGCTTTGTCTTTGGCAGAATGCAGGTTCTGGCTCAGTTACGAGCCTCGGGTTTCCTGAGAGCCAAGGGAGCTGGTGACATTCGAGACCTCAACACAAACTCTGACAACTGGGCATTGGTGAAAGCTTGCCTGGTGGCAGGCACATATCCTAATATTATACAGCGAGACCGCACAAACTGTCTCTGCACCACGTGAGTTTTTGTGTGTGGTAGATTTTGTTCTGAGTTGTTTATGAGGTGTTTCTTCTTCTTTGTTCATCCAAGGATGTAATGCTGTTGTGCTCATGTACACCATGGCTGTGATATTTGCAACATTCAGCCAACATATCCTCCTTCTCCTCCACCAACTAATTTTCCCTCCTTTTCCTCCTTCTTTCCCTTCACTTTATAATTCTTTTACCTACTGAGCATCATCAGCATGTATGGCTTAGGTGTTGTGAACATGCTTCATAATTCTGATGTGCTTGCATGAAGGGTACATTAAATACTCTTTGCTTCTCAAATAGGCCCTGTAACATATAGATTAACCTCTGTTAACTTCTTTATTTCTTCCTCCACTTATCTCATCAATAAGGATCATAGAGACTGTATTTAGTTATGAGGTATGAACTGACATCATAGCACTCAGGATATTCCCATTAGCACTCAGCCTTCATCTTCAGCAGCAAGCGCACATCTCCAATTCCGTTGGTACCAGTAAGTTTGATTTTATGTCTGTCTGTCGCCTTCCCTGAGTTTTGAAAATCAGTCAGATGGGATGGTCACTCCTCGCTGCACCATCCTCTTCAGACCATGATCTGTTTTTCGTGTATTTTTGTCTCTGCACTGTTTACTGGCTCCAGATTGCCCTTACAGCATCTAGCTTGTCATGCAACAGTTTACCACCAGGTGATGCAGAACCAGTGAAACTATAAAGATTGTAAGGTTCCTCTTTGTGCTTTTTCTGATGCATTGTATGAGTTGATTTTAATTTCTGTAAAACTATGCTTGATCCTGTCCTTTTATCCTATGCATGGTTTTTCCTTTGCTCTGTGTTGATTATAGTTTTTTGTTTATTATATTTTTTTTCATTATGGCTGTCTGTGGCACTTGGTTCTGGGGCATTCTCAAATGGCAAGACCATCTCATCTGTTGCTATTAGCAAATATACATAAGTTTACACCAGATAAAATTATGCTTTCTCCTAATTCAGTTGTATGTTTTATTACATTTCATTAATCTTCTTCTTCTTAGTGTTCACCGGATGTATAAACTCTTACAGTTCTGGTTGTTCGTCCACTTCTGGACTTGATCTGGAACTTTTTTTTTGGGGGTGTGCTTATCCATTTTACATATATGGCTTATTTGTTTGCAGACTGTTGGTTCCTTGCCTCTTAGCCAGATGCTTGTTAGAAGGCAGTGGGTCTATTCTCTTTTCTCCAAAATGGAGCCCCAGAACCCACACTTGGAATTTAGTTAATCAGGAACATTGAGTAAAAGTAAAAATTGTTTGCTTTGAATTTTGTCGCCCAACAGAACTGAGAAACGAGTCAGGTTTCACACTTCATCTGTCCTGCAGCCAGCAACCTCGGTTACTAGTGTGCTCCCAGCAAATTCCATGAAGAAATTTGTGAAGACACTTCCCTCCAAATGGCTGATTTATGAAGAGATGTCTCGATCGCAGCGGGTTTCTCTGGCAAAGTACTGCACCTTGGTATCACCTGCAGCTATGTTTTTGTTTGCTGGCCACAGTAAAGTGACAACAGATGCCATTAAGCAGTCTGAAGATCCAGAAGATGGTGAGCAAAACATGTTTGTTATCTTTTGTTTTGTGAGCCCTGTTTGTTCTCAAATTATGCCAGTTTTTGTGTGTATCCAGGCTGCTTGCTTGCATCTCTGTTAATCAACAGCATCTGTTTTTGTGTTGCGAATTAAGGATACATGATGTAAGATTACAAAGAATCATCTTTCATCTGGTTCTTCTAAAGTTAAAGTGGAGGTGAAAGGATTGGCTTCATTGCAGTGGGTTTGATCCCATATGGCTCAGTATCTCTCTCCCCAGATGGCTAGACGTCTGCTGAAAGTGTTACACAAAGCACAAGCTTCATAGCTGTGCTGAGGTTTCGAAGGGATTTCTGTAGAAAATGCAGTTGTTACTTCGACTGCACATCTATAAAACTGATCCACAGAGCACAAGGCAGATAGTTTGAACACTTCACCACAGAAACCCCTTGATTCTTCTTCACTGTGGTCTGTAGAAGCCTTGGTGACTAGATAGTGTGTCTGCTTACTTGTGGTCCAGTCCACAGTAAGCCTTAATTGGCTGACCAGTACACTAGATAGTGTGTCTGCAGCCTTATGGAATATGTTCAATGTACGCTTGAAGGAAGAACTGGCCAGATGATTAAGACAACTGGTTTCTAATGTGGGAGACTCAGGTCTGAATACAGTCATGAATTTGTTTCTTGTCAGGTGAAGTGACAAAAATTGTGAGGACATAGGATAAGCTGTATGCAATAACAAAAGATCAAGTGACTTGGTGTGGGTACGCTGAGAGCCTCTGCTCCATTGAGGGATAAAAAAAATACCCTTTTCCACACCTTTAGGCGTATTGGGAATATAGGGCTAGACCTAAATTTGTAAAGACCAGTCGACACTTGGTGGGTGATGTGGTCAGCATCACACCGGCCGATTGGAGGATAAAGGCCGGATTAAAAATCTAGTTAGTGTGTAGATAAACACAAGAAACCAGACAAGGTTGTCAGAAGCTATGTAAAGTTCCTGATGATGAATTATTTACAAATTACTCAGCATTCTGTTTTCTTCCCCTGCTGCCTTTCACCTCCCAATAGTGTGTAGTTTCTCACCAACTCATCCAGAGTTCTTTGTAGACTTGTTCATGATGTAGCAACTGAAGTTTTCTGTGGGATGAGGTGATCAGTCTCACACCAACCCTCCTTATCACCTCTAGCAACATTTGTGGTATCTTAAAGCATTAGTATTCTTTGCTTTTCTTATAGGTCCACGTAAGATGTGTGAGTATTGTGATTCGCCATGTATCTTTGAATTAAAAACTCTTAGTGCATTTTGCATTAGAGATGGTTTTTGTTGTTGCTTTGTTTGGTTGTAGTTTTTATGTTTTGAGTTTATTTTGTGTTTATAACTATGCAGTATTTCCTTGAAATTAAGACCTACCCCAGAAATAAGGCCTGGCATGATTTTTCTAGATGCTTTTAATATAATATAAGCACTAGCCCAAAAAAAAAAGTCAAATTCAGATGATCAGCTAGAAGGGAAGACTTGTTGCCGAGGCCATGACTTGAGTGAAGAATTCATGGGATAGATTCACTGGCAGCTGTTACCAGTGCACTACCAGCCGGCTACAAGAAATGCTTATTTAAGAAAAGCTTTTTTGCTGGACATAAGAGACTGGGGCCAGCAGTTTTACAGGAACCACAAGAAATTTCAGCCAGAATTTGCGATTCAGAGAGTTATGACGATGCTCCAGAAGGAGATATGACTGTATGTGAATAAATGTAGAATTTTGCACATGAATCAATGTACATTTTTGTTTATGAAAAAAAATAAGACATTTCCCGAACATGAGTCCTAGTGCATTTTTTTAAAGCAAAAATTAAAATAAGACCTAGTCATATTTTTTGGGAAACACTGAATTATTGCTGCATGCATCCAGCTAAACATTTGTTGGCAAATTTTCAATAATAACAAACATAAATTCAATCCACATTCATGAATACCCAAAGAAAATGAAGGGCCCTTTTATTTTTTTTTTTTTACCTAGTGGCACCACATGAATTATGCTTCATCCATATTTTTATAGACCGGATGCCTTTCACAGGGTTATGAACGCTTATTGCTTTTACTTCCAAATAACCTGGTAACTATTTTAGTGTTTTTTGACCTGGAAACAGAGGTAAATTTTTTTTTTTATTTATGCCTGGATGTGGATTCAAACTCAAGGCTTCAGACCAACTATACCACTATACCACCACATATCCTACTCCATACTTAGTATGTTTTAATCTAATATCTTTATATGTCCCTGTGTGGGTTCCTTTGCCCCATGGGGGGGGGGGAGAGATTAACATCACTGCTCCCCTGACAAGCATGTTGTACAAGAAGACTAATTAAGGGCGTTGTTGCCTTTGAAGTCTGAGTCCAACTGCCTGAGTGGCCAGGAACCAGCATCCTGATACAGATACACCAGATTTGTAAAACAGATGAGCATACAAAACTCAAGTTCTGGAACAAGACCAAAGACTAGAAGTGGCTGAACAACCAGAACTTTCCAACGGAGGACTTTACAGTCATTGAACACTAAGAAGAAGAGGAAAATATCTTTATATTCTGAGGTACCTTTCATGTTGTAATTTTTTTCCATATCATCTTGTGAAATTCTAGACACGGATGAGGATGAATCATCCGACAAGGAAAGTGTCTGCAAAGGTGGTGATAGGCATGCTGGAAATGTGACTGTCAAACTGGATGAGTGGATCTCTTTTGTGTTCGAATCCGTGACGGTAAGCAGCAATGTTAATGTAGTAAAAGTACAATTAAGGTGTATGATTCCACCTCTTGAAGTGAGTTTCACCACAGTAAATCAGGTTATCATTTGGTTTATTCTTCTTTGTTTTCTGCATGTGCTCTTAAAAATGACAGTTGGCACATTGTGTTGTGGTTTACAGCGAGGCTGCAATATTTGCAGCTTTAGGTCCAACACGTCTGATTTCAGCAAACTCTAAATTAGTAGCATTATAGGATCTGCTTGTTAGGGGAGCAGTGCATCTACCCACCCCCCCCCCTTCCCCAATGGGACCCTGGAACTAAGGAACCAACACAAGCACTTGCTTGCTTTTTTCTCATTATATTTGCCTTTCATTGTGTATTTTAGACATGATTATTGTTATATCCGTCAGGTATATTTACTGTAATTTTTAAGCTCTCATATCATGTGTGGGACAGGAGAGCAGTCTCGTTAGCAAAGTGCAGGTCATAAAGCTGCTCTGTTAAGAGTCCACATCGGATTTCAGCAAACCTCTAATTGTCACGGCATGATGCTGACCACATCACCCATCTTGTGCCGTTGGTCTATAAAATATAGGTCTAACCCTATGAACCCACTACACCTGAAAGGCGTGGAAAAGGGTCCTTTACTTTACTAATTGTCACCTTTTACAACATGCTTGTCAGGAGGACAGTGAGTCTGTTTTTTTATCCCTCCAAAGTGAGTCCTTGGAACCCGCACAGGGACTTGATCTTTTTCAATGGTAACATTGTCACTAATAGTTATTTTTGTTATTCTAAATTCTAGAATAAAAAAAACTTATTGTTGTTTTTGCATTTCTAAACGCTAGAATATTAAGAACTGATTTGTGTTTTTCCTTTTCCAAATGCTAGAATGCAAAGACTGCAGTGCTGTTTCGAATGAAGTGGCATAGCCTGTTTTTGAACAGAATGAGGCACCCAAATCGCCCTTGGACACAGGCAGAGGAGGTAAGAATATTTTTTTTAATTACTTGCAATGCATGCTGAGCCACTGACTATTTCACCCACATTGCCCACATCAGAAGGAAACAATTTACATTCTTTGGTCATGTCATGAGAGAACAGGAGTACATTGTGTCAGTGGGAAAGTTTGAGTGAAAAAGAGGCAGCGAGAGTCGAGAATATCATGGACACCCTGGGCATGACAATTTATAAGGCAGGAAAGTTAGCCAGGGACAACAACAACTGAATGTGCAGCCATATTTTGTTCTATTATCTGTTTCTCCAGCTATCTGATTTTTGTACATGGGGCTGGAGAATTGGCTAATGACAGAGACATTCAGGCGTGTCATGAAGAGAGCAGCATTCTATAAAGATCCTTCTGATTGGTGATAATGATGATCTGTGACTGTTTCTGTGTTGACCTGGTTAGTTGTTTTTTAGTCTGTTGATACAGACTTAGAATATTTGTCTGCATCTTTTCATTTCCCTCCAATCAGGTGCTGTCTTCATAATAAAGGTTGGCTGCAATGTATCTCCAACATGCTCTGTCTGTCATCTTGGTTGAATACTCTCTCATAGTGCTGTTCATCTGTCTCTTGTTGTTGTCCTCCCACTTGTATCACTGTCTCTGGCTCACTACACTCAGAGGAAAGGCAAGACGGACATATAACCAGATTGTGACCGGTACCATCAGTCTTGGAACTCTGCGCTGGCTGCTAAAGATGAGGACGGAACACATCTGGGAATGCCCGAGTGCTGTGATGTCAATTCTCAACTCAACTCAACAAAGTTGTATCCCTGTCTACCTCTTGCTTTCTTGCCTTTGATTTTCCTCCTCCAGCGTAGTTTTGAAAGTGCTTTTCATTGAGCTTTCTAGGTATAGGTTGTATTTCTTCTTGATATCAGCTTGACCGCAGACCCTCCTGTTTACTTCAAAGCTAATAGCAAAATGTTTAATTTTTTTCATACATAGGTTAGCTTATTGATGGTATCTTGCTAGATTTGTTAACACTAATTTGAAAGAAAAAAAAACCATCAGAAAGAGACAGCCATCATTTGTTGGTCATATTGTGAGATGATGGAAACCGGAAACATGTTGTGGCCACTGCAAAGATCTGTGTAAAAAGAGACAGAAGAGAAGATTCTCGACAGCTTTTCTCATGGCATGAAGGGTTGTCAGCACATGAACTGATACATGCTCTTGAAGACTGCAGATTGGGGAAAGGCATGATTGCCCATGCCAAGTCGGCAAGATGCTTGATGATGATGATGTTGATTAACATAAATAAAAACAAAACTGTCATTGCTGTCTGTGTTTACCACTGTCCAAATTGGGGGGGGGGGGGGCGTGTCTAAAGCCTGAGTATGCAGGGTTACATGGCCGGTGCAGAATATTTTTGTTGTTTTGCCCCTGGCAGGAAAAAAAACCTCCAACACCTTACTGGGGATTGTTCCAAAGTCTCACACATGAGGGCTCAGCTTTCTGGCCACTTGGCCAAACCCTTCCTCATTAAACCTATACCGTTACCATTTTGATAGATGATTTTAACTAAACATCTATATCATATAGGCAGTTCTTCAAGCTATCTGTGCTGTTTTAACTAATGCAGAGAAGACCATGGGCTTTGAAAACCCAGTAGGAATTGGTCAGCAGCCTAGAGTCTTTGGTAAGTGGGGATAATTCATTTGACATTTTTTTTTTTTTTAACAATTTCAAAAATTTCTGTTGAAAGCACTGTATGGTGCTGAAGTATAGCTAGGCTTATACTGTCTCTTTCTTTCTTTCTTTCTTTCTTTCTTTCTTTCTTTCTTTCTTTCTTTCTTTCTTTCTTTCTTTCTTTCTTTCTTTCTTTCTTTCTTTCTTTCTTTCTTTATGTCTCTCTTATTCTCTTGCACACCTTAGGTAGATACTAAACAGGAGAGTGCAGAATTAATTACAGCAGGTAAATGTCAAGAAAAAGAAGATTTAGCATCTTGACTTCTTTAAGAATTTTCTTCCTGCCTATTTTTTTTCTTTCTTTTCCAGTCCATTGTATTCTATACCTGTCTGTATAACCATATAAGTGTTTCTTTAACAGATTTTCTATCATATAAAGAAAGGATAAAAAAAATGGAAAGCAGCTAAAACAATTACTAATAAACTACAAACATGCATTAACCAATGACTGTGCAGTACAGAGAGAATTAAATTATATGACAGAATCACTTTTGTAGAGCTTTGGGAGAGAACTAATCAAATTCAAGTGAATCAAGAGGTGGAGAAAAGATGATGGCATTGTATAGGCTATGCATGAGAAAACCGGTTAACAGTGTAACTAGAATGATCTTGCACTGGAACCCACAGGACAAAACAGATAGAGACCTAAAGAAATAGAAGAGAAAATTAGAGGATGAGGTAAGTGGTGCAAAAGATAAGATGATGGTGCAAGTGGCTTATGTTCCTGTGGGGGATAAGGGTTAGAGAATGATTCAGAGTAAAATAGATTTTGTGTGCCGCATAAGAATTAGTTTTCTGACAAGGGAATTAAAAAAATCTCTTGCTTTTTCATTTCTTAAAAAAAAATGATATTTAATGTTGAAATGATTCATTACATTGCACTGAGTATTATCCCTTGTAGATCGGCCTCTGTCTGCAGAGTGGCTGTTAACCTTCCAAGAACACTGCACAAAGCACAAGACTGCAGCTTCAGCTGTGACCGATCGCCCAGGATCTCTGAATGAAAAATTTGTGCTCATGAACTGAAAGATGGAGTCCGCAAACTGAACCCATGACCATCAGAGCAGGAGGCAGACAGTGTAAACTACATTGCTTGGAAACCTCTCTAGTTTTGCGCATATATTTGATCGACAGTAGTGGTAGATTTTCTGATGTGGCATTTGTACAAAGAAGACATAAATAATAGAATACTCAATTTATTACCTAGGAAATATCACTGTATCTTGTCAAGTACATACTACAGCAACAATTGTATAAAAGGAAGCCAATAAATTCATCCTTAACAATAAACTGTACAGTCTGTTTTTGTGTCTTCTTTGAACAGGTTTAAAACACAGTAACATTGATTTAGTGAATGTGCCATTTGTTTCTATCAGAACCAACAGGCTTTGATGATTACTACAATAGACCAGGCAGTACCACTGGCTACCAGCACCCATACTATCATCAACAACAGCAGCAACAGCATCTCAATCAGCAACATATACAACAACAACAGCAACAAATGTACAGAGGTCACGGCAGTGCAGCTGGCAGGGGGTACTCCAGTCAGCATCAGAAGAACTTTCAAAGCTACACAAGTATGTTTTCTTTTAAATAGAACTAGCTTTGTTTGATATAGCATTTACAATGGCATGAGACTATATGTTTTTCCCAGCATTTTTACTATATTTTGCCATGTGTAAGACTATAATATTTTCCCTTAGCATTATTTTTTTTAAGGGTTAGAATTGTGGGGGGGGGGGGGTTATACACAAAAATATGCGATTGTTAATATTTAGAATATATCTTAATTATTATATTATGGGCGGGGGGTTATATACATGGAAAAATATGGTAACTGTTAAATCACAGAATATATATTTTTTTTTTTTTGGTTATAAAATTATTTGAGCAGAAAAAGGCTACCCCTGGTAATTTATTTTATTTCAGACCATGAAACATTTGTCAGAAGTTGATGCAAAATTACAGAGAGTTTTGGAAGTGTCACTATGGTCCCATAAACTGAGGAAAAGAGAGTTCCCGGCTGCATATCCTCTAATAAGGAAATGCCACAGTATGGCGAACACACCAAGATAAGTGGAAACCTGTTGCCCTTTGATGATAGCAGGGTTAATGCAGTGTAGGATATTGGCATCAGGAAAGATCGCTTAAGACTAAGGGCATAGTCTAAAGCCATGTGGATGTGGAAAGCAATGGGAAAACTACCATGTTATGCATCTCAGGAAACAACTCATCATGGCAACTGTAAAAAATACTAAACATGTCAAGAATGATGAGGCCTTTCTCAGATTTGATTAAGTCATGTTGGCAAAAATCCAGTTTAGAGAATCAAAACAGATGGGAGCTGTCTCCTAGCTAGAATCATTTGTTGGGAACTGAAATACTTCTGCCAAATATATAACAAAATGGTTTGGAGAGTACAGTATTGGGGGTAACAGTGGGCCAGGAGATCAAGGACACTCTTTTCATGAGGTAAGGAAGTTGGCAATAGACCAGATGGCTTTTCAGCATGCCATGGTGTGAGCAGCATACAACATGATGATGATGATGTAATTAGAGTAGTGAAATTTACTGTAACATGTTGAATTTTTCTTGTTATTCTCCTATTGTCCTCCTTCTCTTTGTCCTCTATTTCTTCTTTTGATCACAGTTTTTAGGGTTAACTAATTGATAGACAGACATAAATCGCACTTACTTCTCACTGGTTACTTATTTATCTCGTTCCTCTTTCTTTTGTGCTATTGCTTATGCTGTAAAGTGTTGTAGAAAAGAGTTCATTTAGTTTCCTATCTTTTGTTAGTTGTTCTGCTTGTGTTAATGTCATTTTGCATTTCTGTAGTGTCTCTCTTACTCCCTCCACCTCTCTCCTGGTCGGCCTCTTGACTTGTAGCTGCAGGCTGATTTTGTTCCCTTCTGACCTGATGACCTAACCATTTGATTCTTTGATGTTCTGTGAAATCATTTACTGGTACTATGCCTACCATTGTTCTTAGTTCTTCACTGGGTACTCTGTGTCTCTTCTGATTTTTCCTGCTGCATTTCTTTTACATCTCATCTCAGGTATTGTAATTTTATGTTTGTGTTTTTCTAGGCCTGTCCATGTCTGGCATTAATAGCACAAAGTTTGTACGTGTAGCATATTTATCAGCTACTTTCTTATATATCATCCTAACAGAATCACAACCCATCAACAGTGGGGCTAAAGAGGACAGCAGAGGCTCTGCTCTGAATAACTCCTCTCATGTAGCGTCTCCTGCCCCACCTGCAGCTACCACAATGGCAGGCAACAAGACAACCTCTCAAACAATAGAAGATGGAAGATACTTCCTGATGAGATGTCATAACCAGAAGATTATTGACATGTCGGAAGCCAAGGGAATTTGGGCATGCTCATTTGCAAATGAAGCCAAACTTGACAGGGCATTTCATGTAAGTATATTGTATAATGTAATAGAGTTCAGACTTTTTTATGTGTTTGGTCCACTTAAAGACACACTCCGTGGGACAAGGTTTTGAAGAAGATGATGATGGAATTATTCTTGAAACAAAGAAATGGCTACATGATCAAGACAAAATCTGGTACAGGCTAGGAATATTTGCAGTTGTTTCATGCTAGCACAAAGCTGTACAAATTGACAGGGATTATGTTCAGTAACAGAGATGTTTACATGACACATCCGTATATATATTGGGTATAAATGTCATGCTTTTTTTTTTTAGACAGTTCCTGAAGAAAAAAAAATGGTGTTATGCATTACGCCTCACATATTGGATAGTTTCACGCTTCTGTTGATCAGTGGCTAAATATTTGCCTGCCAACCAGAAGTTCTTGGGTTTGAATCCATACTGAGTTGAATATTTTTTATTATTTAAAATTGTCCTTTGCTCCTAGTTAGACCTCACCTAAAATGGATACCTTGGAAGTAAAGGTGGCTAGTGTGATGCTGGTCACTTCATGCATCAAATCTTGATATGGGTCTAACATTATATGCCACCAGTGGTATTTTTAAAATCCTTCACTTTTACTTTCTTGCAGCTTTGTATAAAGCAGTGTGATACTGAATACATCACATCACCCACTATATGCTAATTGGTCTTTTGAAGAATGTGACTCTGGCATCATTACTGGATGTACCAATGTCAGGAAAGGGATCGTGTACTTTTACTTTACTGGGTTAGTTGTGTATCCTTTACAGGATGTTGCAGAACCAACCCCAACAGCCCCTGGCCGTTGTGTGGTTTTTCTAGGCAAATTTACATCCAGTAATTTGCCATTTCTTTCTGGACGGTCGGCTTTCTTGATACCACTGTCGAAACCAACGCAAGGCCCATGGCCCACAGCTGAGATCGAACCCGGCATCCCGGCATGACAAAGCGTTAGCATCGACTTAGTTTACTTTACTATGTGAAGTAAATATCAATTTGTAAAGTCTGCTTTTTAATATGTTTGGGATGCTAAGGGGATGGACCGTACTGGTCAAGACCAAACTATACCTCTTCGTAATATGTTTGGGATGCTAAGGGGATGGACTGTACTGGTCAAGACCAAACCAAACTATGGGATGCTAAGGGTATGGACCTACTTCATACCATAACCTTTGGGATGCTAAGGGTATGGACCGTACTGGTCAAGACCAAACTATACCTCTTCATAATATGTTTGGGATGCTAAGGGGGATGGACCGTACTGGTCAAGACCAAACTATACCTCATCGTAATATGTTTGGGATGCTAAGGGGATGGACCGTACTGGTCAAGACCAAATTATACCTCTTCGTAATATGTTTGGGATGCTAAGGGGATGGACCGTACTGGTCAAGACCAAACTATACCTCTTCGTAATATGTTTGGGATGCTAAGGGGATGGACTGTACTGATCAAGACCAAACTATACCTCTTCGAAATATGTTTGGGATGCTAAGGGGGTGGACCGTACTGGTCAAGACCAAACTATACCTCTTCGCAGTCTTCCTAGAAACCGGCTGCATATCAGGAGCATGGCCATATAGATATGATCTGCATTTTCTTCAAAGTTTGAATGCATCTTTTCTGAGAGGCAAGGAACCAACAGTCTGCACACACAAAAAGGCAGATGTGTAAAATGGACATGCTTGCAAGACTGAAACATTACCAAAGTCTAAAAATGAACGAATAGTCAGAACATTCAGCTGGAGTTTATAGCCGATGTGCAGAAGAAGAAGTATATATGTTTACTATACTTGTTTGTTATTGTTTCCTTATTATCAACATGAAGTAGATAATGACATCATTCCACTAGTACAGTTTGCTAGAACTGTTTGTTGCTTCACAGAGTGGGAAAAATGTATTCCTCATCTTTTGTGTGCCGGGGAATGGAAACTTTCAGGGATACGCAAGAATGACTTCACCTGTCACCAGAAACAGAGCTCCAGTTTTTCCTGGGTCGGGCTTCACTGTTGTTTTTGACATTGAGTGGATAAAACGGTAATTATTGTGCCTCTGTCAGTTTTGTTTGTTTAAGAACAGTCAGTTAAACCCTCTTCTACATGTTTGCTTCCTATAGAACAAATACTCTACACCAGTGTTTCCCAAACTTGTCTTAGCCACTGTGCCTTTTTTCAATTACAATTTTCCAGGGCCTTAACCTCAGTAAAAGTATGACTATTTGTATGAAAGAGATAACAAAAAATAAAACTTGTGTATCTTCGAATATTTCACGGCGCCCCCGTGAAGAGGTCGCGGCTCCCCGGGACGCCGCGGTGCACAGTTTGGGAATCACTGGTATGAATTGTCAAGATTGTCCTGTGTGGGTTCTTTGGGCCAAGTTATGGGAGAAAAAAAGGAATCGACCCACTGCTCATTAACAAGCATATTATAAAAGAAGACTTATCAAGGGTTTGCTGAAAATGGATGTGTTGGGCCAAAAGGTGCAGACATCGAATAGCCTAGTTGTGCACCACAAAACAGTGTCAGCTGCCCTTTTAAATGGAATCGCAGAAGAGGATTCAAATGTATGTAGTCGTTGCTGTCTTTTAGTGGTATAATTAACATTTGACCCATATTGCCAAATTTTCTTTAGTTGTGTATATTTTTGTATGGTCTTTATATTGTTCTGACTACATCTTCCTACATGCAGCGGTGCAATACTTGCCAGCTGGTCCACTTGTTCATTTAGCCGTTATCATTTACTCCGGCATCCCCAATCTGTAGATCCAGGTGAGGGAGGGTAATTGCAACTTTTTAATGCTGTCTGCCCATTCAGAGCAGAGGCTGTGTGTTGCAATTTTAAAGTATGTTCACAGAGTCTGATATAATCACCATTTTTGTGGCTGTTTGTTCTGAAGCCTATAAAAGTGCTCAGGAGGTGGTAATGATCTCCACGGTCATATTTTGTGCTGGGTGTAGTTGTGCTGACCTTGACCCACGTTTGATGGACCTATCTATGTATATGATGATGTCTGCTGGACATAAATGCTGATCTATCTTTGCCCTCATCTCAGTAGACCTGCTTCATAATGGTGACTTTAATTGTGAATATGTTAATTATTCTTTTAAAAGTTCATTATAATATTTGTTGACATGTTATACTTCACAGGGCAATCCTTCCATTCTCCATGACAAATTCATTATTAAATTCTTGGAATGAAAACAGGAAAATCCATTCAGGCAGAGACGGGCAGGTAAATGATGTAGAATAAAAGTGTTTCTTCCTGCCCCATTCCTTTATCACAAACAGACGTTTTCTTTAAACACAATCTGCTTCCTTGTTCTGTAAATTTAAAAAAAAAAAGAATATTTTTTACATATGTCACACCCCCCAACCCCTTCCCAGAAAAAATAATTGCACAGAATCAGTGTATCGTCCAAAACAAGAACAAATGCTATACAGAGTAATCATTAAAAATGAATGCAGCAAAGAATCTATCAGCTTACATCTTTTGGCGACTGTAAACTAATTGTAGCTTGACACTTACTCGACCCTGTACTTTGTCACCCGGGAACCACTGTAAACAATAGTAAAAATTTCTGGAAATTAAGCATTTTTGTGTGTTCACCTTTTTTTTTTTTAAGGAAACCCCACTAAATGCTGATTTTATCAAATTGAGCTCCTCTCTGAATATTTGCGCAGGTGCAGTGAATTCTGTTGGCTAGTCGTCTTGTAAACCTGTCTTTATAGTGAGTCAGGAGAGTGGCTGTTAAGGAGAAATGGTTTCAACCAGAAATGTTAGTTTTGAGGCTTTGTGAGGCAGAAGGGTTAAGAAATTAAATTAGAATAACCCATTTCTATTGATTTTTACGAGTATAGAGTGCCGACTGTTCAGTAAGCAGTGGCAGACTACTGAACAAAAAAATTGCCTAGTAAAATCACAAATAACCAAAAACACATGGTGGGGTTGGTACTTAAAACTTCCTGTAGATGATACCCAACTAACTTCTTTAAAAAAAAAAGGAGAAATATTCAGTGCAATATATCTTCTGCTATTCAAGTGAAAGAGAATTTTTAAAGAGGTATTTATATGAAGAGCTAGTCCTGATGTATAGAAGTGATTACCCAACAGTCAGTAGAAATTGTGTGGAAATTTTTAAAGAAACATGATGCCAGGGACAAATAAAAAGAGTTGTTCATAAGGTTTTTCAACAGAGCTAAGTGCTATTCTTTTGTTGCTTATTTTAATTTTAGCTAGTCTTAATTTTTTCAGAAATTGCTTTCCTTTGTCCCTCAAGCATTCAGTTTTGATCTAAGGGTCTGCCAGCACCCCCCCCCCCCCCCCCCACTCCCCACATTTTGCTTTTGGGAGCTGAACTTCTATCATAATGATGCTTTGCTACACTTTTATATTTAGATGCCTTTTCTATAGAAAAAAAGTCCCAGCACAAAGTGTCTACAAAAGTGCCGGTACTCACCACAGTGTCTACAAAAGTGCCGGTACTCACCACAAAGTGTCTACAAAAGTGCTGTTACTTACCACACGTGTCTTTTACAGACACACTGAAACAAATTTTGCTTAAAACAGGTGCCGGTACTGCATACCATTGCACATCACTAGCAGGAAAAAAAGCCCTGGGTTTTAGATTTAAAAACATGATCAGTCTGTAGATTGTTATTCTTTGATTTTGCAAAGTTTATCTACTTTGAGGTGTTTTCTGTTATGCTTGACTTTGAAGTTTGAACAACGGACCAACATTATGGCACACGGGTAGTAACCCATTAGTGCTCCGTTCTTCTAACTCAAGTCTGACTCTGAAGAAGCTCAGCACAGTGTGCAGATTCTGTAGCACCGACAAGGATCCTGAAATACTTTGGGTAGATTTTTAAGTCCAAATTCTGCCCGGGCAGCGGCGTTAGGCTACTTTTTTCAATTTCCAACTGCCAAGGGATTTTGTACGTGTGCAACAATGCACACGGGCGTCCGATCTCACTACCCAGAGACCAGGTGGAATTACTAGAAGTCCAAGTCCACATAAAAAAATTCTAGCCCTTACTGGGGATTGAACCCAGGACCTCCAGCACTCAAGGCGGACACCATACAAGACCATGCAGCCCCTCATGCTTGACTGAAATTTGAAATATGCTGCTCAGTAAACTTTAATATTGAGATATTTTATTAATTCATAAAGCAGTCATGTAATCAAATGATGCATTAAATAAACATTTACTTTCTTTTATTTTCGATTAGGAAATTGAAACAAAAGTTGCTGTAGAGCTAATGAGAATGTGGGACACACAGCAGCTGAGATGCCCTCAGACTGGGGGAAAGAAGAAAGCCGGTGGCCAACAAACTTTAAAGCCCACTTTTCCACAGAAGCAGCCTCAGAAAACTGAAAAAAGAAGATCAGAAAACACCCCATCCAGTGATGATCGCAGTGATAAGGAACGGGGTGAAGTATCTCAGTCCAGCCCCAGCCCTGCTTTGTCGACAAATACCAACAACAGTTCTGGTGACAGCACCAGCAGAACCAGCAGTCCTGCACACAAACCTCAAGCAGAAGGAGGCGGAGGGCAGTTGCAGGGCATCTCGGGCAGTTCCCAGCCAGGTCTCATTATGCAAAGCCCAGCTCAGCTAATGCCCCAGGGTTTTGCAGCTGGGAATGCAAACAAGAGCTACTACTCCAACACATACCAGCAGCAGCAGCAACAACAAGGGGTGTTTGGAAAGCCCACTTTAAGTGTTGCCAACAATGCTCCAGGTCTGAACCCATTACTCATGGCCCAAGCAGGTCTTATTGGTCAAGGCCTAACTGTCGGCCCCCAGGCTGGGCTGTCACCAGTTATGATTCTCCATCGAGGTCACCCCAGCCCGGCCCCGCAAACACCACAGCCACACTACTTCAGTGGGGGGCAGTACAATCATCATAAATAGATGAACTGTAACATTTAGACCCTGGTCTGTAAGTTATGTAAGGCCAAAAAAAACGGATTTATTGTTACTAGCTTAACTTCTGTATTGTGATCATATTTCCCATCTAAGGATCTTGACAACTGAAAATGTTATTCTGATTAGTTTTCATTTGTGTTGTGGTAATTTGGTTATTTGCATGCTGGCCTGAAGGTCTTGAGTGTGAATCCACACTGAGACAGATTTTTATCACATTGATGGCTCCCAGGTATATGCAGCTAAGAATGGGTGCCAGGAGATGTCCTGGGAAGTAAAGGTAGATACCATGATGTTGATCACATCACGTCTTTCCTTTGTCTCCTATGTGACTGCCATTCAACATCATTGAAGATATGTCTTCATTGGATGGACAAATATAGATGGCTCCCAGCATGTTATATGCTTGACTTAAACCTGAATGGGAGAGCTTTTTTTTTTCACACAAGCACACACATATGTGAATAATGTATTATTGTTTCAAGATGGTGATAACTAAACTGATATAATGAGTTTCTAACAAAATTTAAGTGACTAAAGATAACTACTCAGTTTATCTTCTAATCCAAGGCCCCCACCACCACCTGGGTTTTCTCCTATGTGACTCTGTTAACCATTCAACATCATTGAAGTGAATATGTCTTACATTTGAATGTATTGAGTAAAGCTTGCTGTGTATAACACAAGATGTTATTATCATATGTTTTAGCTTTCAGGTCAAAAACACAGAAGTTGCTTCGTATCATTTGTTATTAAAATGTTATCATCATATGTTAACCTACTGGCCATAACACAGAATTATATTCGCTTGCTTTTCTCTCAGTCATTCATAATTATAAAGGTTCAGTCAGATTTTGAGACAAGACATGGCCAATAGTGATTGGTTTCCAATAATTTTGAGACAAGACATGGCTAGACTTTTTGTCCAATAGACTTTAAGACAGGACATGTCCAAAAGACTTTGCACAATAGACTTTGAGACAGGACATGTCCATAGACTTTGAGACAGGACATGTCCATTAGACTTTGAGACAGGACATCTCCAAGATTTGAGTGGACATAATAGACTTTGAACAGGACATGTCCATAGACTTTGAGACAGGACATCTCCAATAGACTTTGAGACAGGACATGTCCAATAGACTTTGACAGGACATCTCCAATAGATTTGAGACTGAGACAGTTTGTCCAAAAGACTTTGAGACCATGTCAAATAGACTTTGAGACAGGACATCTCCAAAAGACTTTGACAGGACATGTCCAATAGACTTTGGACAGGACATGTCCAATAGACTTTGAGACATGTCCAAAAGACTTAGACAAGACATGTCATTTGAGACAGGACACCAATAGACTGTTAACGTGTCCAATAGACTTCAAGGCAGGACATGTCATAGACTTCGAGGTAGGACATGTCCAATAGTTTGAGATGTCTTTTGAGACAGGACATGTCCAATAGACTTCAAGGTAGGACATGTCCAATAGGCTTAGACTTCAAGGTAGGACATGTCCAATAGACTTTCATTTTTTTGAGACAGGTTCCGGTTTGAGACAGGACATGTCCAAAGACTTTGAGATATTATGTCCAATAGGCTTTGAGACAGTACATTTGAATGTATTGAAAAGCTTGCTGTGTATAACAGGAAAAGATGTTAATAGACTTTGAGACAGGACATGTCCAATAGCTTTGAGACAGGACATGTCAAAGACACAGACATGTCCAATGACTTCGACAGGACATTTCCAATAGACTATTAAACAGGATGTTAATCTTCATATGTTCCAATAGACTTTGAGACAGGACATTCCAATAGACTTTGAGACAGGACTTAGACTTGAGACAGGACATCTCAGGACATGTCCAATACATGTCCAATAGACTTTGAGACAGGACATCTCCAATAGACTTTGAGACAGGACATGTCCAATAGACTTTGAGACAGGACATGTCCAATAGACTTTGAGACAGGACATGTCCAATAGACTTTGAGACAGGACATGTCCAATAGACTTTGAGACAGGACATGTCCAATAGACTTTGAGACAGGACATGTCCAATAGACTTTGAGACAGGACATGTCCAAAGACTTTGAGACACTTTTGAGACAGGACATGTCCAAAAGACTTTGAGACAGGACATGTCCAAAAGACTTTGAGACAGGACATGTCCAAAAGACTTTGACAGGACATGTCCATGAGACAGGACCAATAGACTTTGAGACAAGACATGTCCAAGACTTTTAAGACATGTCCAATAGACTTTGAGACAGGACATGTCCAAAAGACTTTGAGACAGGACATGTCCAATAGACTTTGAGACAGGACATGTCCAATAGACTTTGAGACAGGACATGTCCAAAAGACTTTGAGACAAGACATGTCCAAAAGACTTTGAGACAGGACATGTCCAATAGACTTCAAGGTAGGACGTGTCCAATAGACTTCAAGGCAGGACATGTCCAATAGACTTCAAGGTAGGACATGTCCAATAGGCTTTGAGACAAGACATGTCCAAAAGACTTTGAGACAGGACATGTCCAGTAGGCTTTGAGACAGGACATGTCCAATAGACTTTAAGACAGGACATGTCCAAAAGACTTTGAGACAGGACATGTCCAATAGACTTTGAGACAGGACATGTCCAATAGACTTTGAGACAGGACATGTCCAATAGACTTTGAGACAAGACATGTCCAATAGACTTCAGGGTAGGACATGTCCAAAAGACTTCAAGGCAGGACATGACCAATAGACTTCAGGGTAGGACATGTCCAGTAGACTTTGAGACAGGACATGTCCAATAGACTTCAAGGTAGGACATGTCCAAAAGACTTTGAGACAGGACATGACCAAAAGACTTCAAGGCAGGACATGACCAATAGACTTCAAGGTAGGACATGTCCAATAGGCTTTGAGACAGGACATGTCCAATAGGCTTTGTTTGAGACAGGACATGTCCAATAGACTTTGAGACAGGACATGTCCAAAAGACTTTGAGGTAGGGCAAAGAATTATGTGTTTGTTTTTTTTAAATAACTATTATCCTTAGTGTGGGCAGATTTACCTCTGTTGACTGGTTTTTACATTTTTGTTTTTCATTCTTTTTTTTTTTTAAATGAAAATCTAACAATCTGGTGAAATGTCACAGATTTTATTTCTCAGATAAAAAAAGTCAAAGTCAGTTTGAAAAAAACTTATATTTTCAGCAGCTCTACATTAACTTTTATATCTAGTTAATTGTTAAGTGTTCATTGTTTGATAAGTTGTTTGCTATTAATAAAGCTGCACAGGTAACTGAGTTCATTTTTTTTTACAGTATGTGAATGAATCTTTCTTTTTCTGTTGTATGTTCTACGATGAAATCATCTTTTTCTGTAACACCTTCAAAAAAGGTGGTCAGCACTTTGTGTTGTGGTGGTTTACAACTAGGCCATGATGTCTGTGCCTTTTGGCCTAACATATATGGTTTCAGCAAACCCTTTATTGGTTACCATGTGTTGAGCTACATTGGGTCTATTCTTTGTGTCCTCTAAATGGCAAACCTACTGGACAATGAAATCATTTGTACAAATAAAGTTACTCTCTCAGACTAACGCCCAACACTTCCATCAGTTATATTTATACATATTCTTATACTGTAGGCTACATTTTATAATAAAACAAGAAGTGATACTCAGAAAGAAGTTAAAGTGACCATACCTATAGTCTGTTTGTTCAAACTCCTTCAGATGTCACCCTGAATATATTTAAATAAAGCAGCAATCAATCTGCACAGCAGATGATTGGGGAGGAGGAGGAAGAACTAGAGATAAATGGCTTGACCACGACAAGAATACTAACCTGGTCCATGATTCTTGAGATCATTTGACATGATGTATCATAGCTTACTGTACTTGTATGCATGGCACATGATGATGATTTCTGTTTTTTTTTAACTGTTGCTTTATTTCAGCTGTGCTGTTTATTTGTTATTGAAATTTATCATTGCTTTTGAAACAGTTATGGGTGGCAATGGCTTACCATATAACATGTTTATAACAGCTATGTAATATTGACAGTTATTACATTGTTCATATGTTGTTGTGATGTTTATTTTTTAAATCTTGTATGTTATCTCTTGTGTTGAAAAATAAAATTGTGAGAAACGATATGTCCGCTGTTTTTGTTCTGTTTTTAAGAATTGTTGAGCTTGTATTCAAGTTTCAACATATTGTTTAACTACTGTCAACAATAGTCATTAAAAACAGGAATTGTTATATTAAGTTTTATAGATTAAGTAATCTAATGGACCCTATTCACCCATTGATGGATCAGGAATATTGTGTTAGACCTCTATTTTGATAGACCAGCTGGCACTCAATAGATGTTGTTAACATCTTATTTATCATGTTTACTTTCTAGAATATTTCTCAACTCCTTCAGGATGGCTTTTTTTTTAAATACTTCAAAACAAGGCTAAAAAGCTTCTTAAAGAAAATGAACTGGCTGTATAGTAAGTAAAGGACCCTTTTCCATGCCTTTGAGCGTATTGGGTATATAGGGCTAGACCGATATTGAATAGACCAAACGGTACTTGGCGAGTAATGTGGTCAGCACCACACTGGCCACCTTTACTTCCTAGTACTGTACCTGGTACCCACTCAAGGCTAGGTCGATCTGAAAGTCAGCTGGCTGCATAGTGACATATAATGCATCAAATTAAAGAGAATTAATACGGAATAGATCTATACTATTTATCAATCAGTATTGTTAACAGCAAAATGTTAAAATGACACAACATTCAAGGATGCTAGACACACATGAAGATCTTTGGACGCAAACAGTTTCTAACTTTTTTTTTTAAACTTTATCAACAATACTGCTATCCATTTCTAAGAATTCACAGGCCTTTTGTATTCAATTATGTATCAACTTGTCTTTATTTGTGACAATAATCTAAATATTTCTGATTTATTTTTACCATTTTTGTGTGATCACAGTTTTTGTTGTTGTTGTGATGTGGTGGCTTTTTAATTTTTTTTAATGGATTCAAGTACATGACCACCAACCAGTGGCAAGGTGTGATCAGTTCATCTGTGTAAGTGTTATGTAATGATTACATCTAAGAGGGTATCGTGATATTTTCCTTCTCATTGCTTTGCTAGTAAGAGTATGCTGCACAGCCAGAATCATGGTACTAGTAACTAGTAGCTTTCACATGTTAGTTTCTGCATGAGTGGCATAAGCATGCAGCAAGCATTTTTTTCCTCTTCTTTTAAGGCATTAACCAAGTGGCATATTTGTGATTAAAAAGTAAACAGTAAAAATAAATATAACAAAGATGGATTTTTCCTTGGTAATGGAAAGTGTAAGTAGCGATTACAGTCATTACATGCATGCTTCGTCACTGGCTCAGCATGCAAGTGTGCTAGCCATAGCTGCATATCATATAAACTGAGCCAACTGCTGTTGCATCAGTAACTGTCACAGCATTATCACATACAATTAGTGATCTTCTAAGATAGGCCTGCGTGTCCAAGTCTTGACCCTTTCAATGTAAAATTTGTTCGCTCATTCTTCTAGTGTTCGTCTTCGAGGATGTAATTGGGTTGTATGCCCATTTACAGCATTCCTGGGATATTTACGCCTTTCTACGAACACATCTGACTTTTTCAGGCATTTGTTGCCCGGGCTAGTCTTCCTTGTTAGTTTTGTGGGACACTACACAGCCTCACTGTTGTTTCATCATCTTTGCTTCGCAGTCCATGGATGGTTCCCCCACCCACCTTTTCCCAGTCAAACCCGTCGAGAACAGCCTGGTAATGCTAGTCACCCCTCAAGAGGAACTAGGGACAGGACATGAGTATTCTTCTCCCTCCAAAGAGACTTCCACGTATGAAGTGCCAATGCATTGTGCTCTGGCACTGGGCTTACCCAAGAGATCATCGCATCCCAGTCAGGCTGTCATGTTTGTGCATTGTTGTTTTTCTGTAAGAGTGTAAACCCTTTACATGCAGTAGGAAATCAAAGAAATTTTAACGAGAGAAACAGTCCCAGGGCACCAATTATATAGTAGTAGAAAACCTTATATATATTCTTAAACAGCTAAATTAAATCAAAAACAAAAGAATGTTAACAAGTTTAATACATTTTTGAAAAAGAAAAAAACAACTGCACTTTCATACTGTCAGTAAACCCACTCAAACTACAACAGAAATCATGAGTCCTCACAAACTACAGTCAATACAGTTTGTCTACCAAGTAAACTATGATTAAATGTTTTTTGTTCAAAGGTACATTTTGTAAGAATCTATCCACATATTTGTAATTCTAGAGTTGCAACTGGTTGAATAGAATACTGGGCTCTCATGAGGAAGACGGGGGTTCAAATCTTTGGTAAGGTGGTTTGATTTTTTTTTTTTTTTTTGGTCTGTCGGGGGCAAAAACGAAATTCCTAAATCTATAGTTTGTAGCAACTAAAATAACCATGAGACTTTAATCCTCAGGCTTGCAATCCTTCTTTCATACTCACCCCTAAAAAAGAGTATATTCAGACATTAGTGACGTTTTTTAAGACAGTTTTAATTTTGTTCATGTTGTGCTCACACACGCTTTTATAAATAATAAAACTATATAGGCAGTTCTTAGATAGATACTGTCATAAGTACATGGAGTGTTCACTTCTACCTTTTATTTCACCCAACCATGAAACATAGACCCTCATCCACCTCTAGCCTAGCCCTTCTATTTTGTATTACCTCATGCAATTCTCCTTTTGTGTCCTCCTCACATTATTCATACCTGTCTTTCTGTCCTCCTCATATTATTCAATTCTGTCTCTTCTTCTTCTTTTTCTCTAGTCCTGTTCTGTCTTTTAGTGTCAGGTTTTGAATCAACATTGAGTGCGAACCTTGGTATTTAGGTAGGTAGGTAAGTTGTACCCCACCAGGACATGACACAAGTGATAAACACCCGGTGACACAAAGTGCCACCATGCAGATGAGGATCAGCCGTGGAGAGGTCCCGGAAACCCCGTTCAACCATTAGGACATATTTAAGGCCTGATCTTTGCACTAAAAAAAAACACTGAGCAAATTCACAGCTTCAAACTTAGAGTTTAATAAATGCATGAAAATATAGAAATATATAGTGTTTGCTTTCTGTGTGTGCCACTGACATGGCCTGACTTTTTTCAACCTCCCCATTAGTTTCACTGCCACAGCCAATTGATTCATAATATAATGGAGTCAGGTTTCCTTTTGAAATAATGTTTGTTAATGTAATTTTTAGCACTAAATCATTTTGTTATTATCAGTCAGTCTTCACACATCTGCAGTCATTGCCAGTTGAAAATAAAGTTTCCACAAACGAAGCTATCACACAAATATTGAACACACCACAAAAACCTTTTGAACAACAACAAAGTATTCTCATGACTTCTTACATGGTGGGTTAACAAGTGTACTACTTTGCTTACAGCTGGTCATACTCTGATTCCTAATCCCTAACCTCAAAATGTATAATATCTAAAGTTGAAAAAAAAAATACATGTACATTAAAACTGTGCTACTAGATAAGGACCCACACTAGCATAGTGGTTAGACATGTGCCTCCTGGCCCAAAAGTCTTGTATTCAAATCCTTTTGAGGTGAGTTTTTGTAGTTATCATGGCTGCCTGTCTAAAATGGGTACAGAGAAATGTCCTGGGAAGTCCATACAGCTGGCCTGATGTTGACCATATCACCAGTCCCGTGTCAGGTGGTCTATCAAAGGAATGTATGCTCTAGCACTGTATAACCCAAAGAACAACTGGTGTGTAAAGGGACCTTTACTTAGTTTTTAACTATTAGATGGATATAAATATATAGTGTGTGTTTTTGTGTGGTAATCTATAAACATTGCTGTCACTACTTGTATGCTGTTGGTGTGTGAGGCCCTTTTTTCTAGGAGGAAAGAGTGCCGGTACTCACCACAAAGTGTCTAAAAAAAGGTGCAAATACACCTTAAAGTGACTATTACAGAAGTACTGGGGGGAAAAGGTGCTTTAAAAAAAAGTTGCTGGTACTGTGTAATACCAGAAAAAAAAAGCGCTGGTGTGTACACTCACTTGTGTTCTAGAGGGAACGATTCTGAAGATGACTAAAATAAATATTTGCTTAGTGCCTCTCAATGTCAATGTCGCCATCAGTGTCCAGCTGTGCTGCTGTCAGTTTATACGGGGCTGAAATGTGTACAATCCCAGAGTTTTCCACAACGATATCTCTTAACGGTTTGTGTGTTGCTTCTGTTTCCTCCTCAGCCAGTTTCTGAAGTGCATCCTGTTTAAAATAAATATTTATATTAATGCTTTCAATGGACAATGGCTAGGCTATTGTTAAGTTACTAAGAGCTGTGAAATTATTTACTTTCAACATTTGCCATTGAAAGCTGGAGAACCATTAAAGACATGGAAATGAAAGTTAAATGAGTTCGAAAACAAATGCCTGAGAAAAATGATTAACACAAAATGTGATGAATTGAAGAGGAGGGTAGAAATAGCTCTGCCTTTCATATAGCTGCTTGTCAAATAAGGTGAGAAATGATTTCCTAAAGAGTTAGTTAGTTAGTTGGTTAGTTAATTAGTTAGTCAGTCAGTCAGTTAATCGCCAGATTATCCTCACTGCAAATCGGACAAGTCTTTAAGCACTTGGATCCCATCTTCAGTATATCCTTCAGCGTGTGGCAACTGATAACACCAGTTCTCTGTTGGTTTATTCTTCTTCTTTGGCTACCTGTATAGTGTTCATGTTTGGCGACACCTGTTTTGACCTTAAGTTCTTGTAGTCTTTTGAATGTTGCCCATTCAACATTGTCTCCCTAATTCCCTAGTGGAATTATGAGAAATTACCAAGGACCATGAGGAGATGTAATTATTCTCTCGAATGCAGAGGATTGAAATAGTACTACCAATTATTGCCTTATTTAACAATTATGTGCTGTAGGCGGGGGTGGTTGAACCTGAGAATGCCGATGCCATTTGTCCAAGAAAAATTCCAAATTTGATCCTCTTTCAGCCGCCCGAGGGCCTGCTATATCGAAGAAGGGTCCTTTGCTGTCTTATGTAGTTTCCTTTTATTTGTGGTGTGTAGACACACCTGATATTATTGTTGTTTGCTTCCTTGCTGTGCTGCGTTGTTTGCGGTTTTGGGTTCTGGTGTGATCCAGATCTCTTTGCGATGATATTGTTGGGTACTAGCTGACAACCTGAGAATTAGAAACCCTATGGCTAGGACAACGATTGCTTGAAAGAGGCTAATGAAAGTAGATCTCTATATACAACAATAAGAAAGAGACAAACACTGTTCTTTGGTCACATAATGAGAAGAGAGACATTGAAGAACATCGTGACAACTGGAAAGATTAGTGGAAAGAGGGGTAGAGACAGACCGAGAGAGATGATGCTGGATGGGCTAAAACGATGGCATGGAGGGATGCCATCAAAAGAGCTGTTCTAGTCAACCAGAGATCGTGATCTGTGGAGATCACGCCAGTTTACAGGGCACATGATGATGATGATGATTACTAGGACTGTAACGCCCACGGGCTACACTGTTTAAATCTTTCCCCTGATAAAAAAAACTTTTAATTTAAAAAAAAAATTCATGACTTTAGCTAGGACTTGAACCAAAAAACATCATAGATTCGTTTAAAAGAATAACTAAGATCCTGAAAGAAACAGGGTGAAACTAAAGATGAGTTGTTAGCCTTCTCGGTGTTATCTTAATGCAGGAGCCTCATGGGCCCACTGATGATATGTGTATGTGTTTAATAATATCGACCACATACATTTCCCGCCAGTGGGTGGTTGTAGGGGCCCCAACACACTAGTTTGCACAGCGGCTCATAAAGTTAAAACAGCTCTGAGCCACCTTGCCATTGGGACAGATGAATCACGAAATCGACATATGAGAGACACAGAGAGAGTGAGAGAGAGAGAGGAGTGGGAGGGAGCAGACAGAAAGAGACTGGGAAAATACCACAACCATTGCTATACCACATTGTCCATAATGAGAAAATAGCTACATATACAAATAATTTACTTTACTGTGTTGTTAAGCTTACCATTCCCTTAATGACCTTCCCAAAAATAACATGCTTGCCATCCAACCATTTTGCAGAACGAAGTAAAATATAGAACTGAGAACCATTTGTGTCTGGTCCGAAGTTGGCCATGCCGACCCAACCTGCACGGCTGTGACTCAGTGCGAAGCTTTCATCCTGGAAAGTTGTGCCAAATATACTGTCACCTGCACGGACTACTACTACTACTACTACTACTACTTACTACTACTACTACTACTACTACTACTACTACTACTACTACTACTACTACTACTACTACTACTACTACTACTACTACTACTACTACTACTACTACTACTACTGCAGCTGCTACAGCAGCTACTACTACTACTTTTTGCTGCCGTAGCTGCTATTTTACCATATTTCGTAAATACCTCATTCCAGCTCTCTGTTTTCTGTAGCATTTCATTATTCACTTATTTCAATAGTTTTCCTGATACTTTTGGTTGTTCTACGTTTAATTCCTAAGCTCGCATCCGGCAAGTGAAACTTGGAACTAAACCACAATTACCAGTATGACGCGTGGTGTTAATAATGACGATGGTTATGACGATGATAACTGCGATGATGAGTCGATTCTTCTCATTTTACAAAAGGGCTTGAGGGAAAAGCTGTACACAATACATGTATATGTAGTGTAGGCGCCGGAAATTGGAAGCTCAGACACACTGAGTTCCTTGCAATCCAATTTTTTTTTTAAACTACGCTTGAGCGCCACATCCCCTTTTTCAGTGGAAAATAAAATCGCTCAGCGCCCCGGCAAAATATCTTCATCATCATTATGTACCATGTCGATAAGCACAGCCGGACAGAAATCACCATCCCACACGATCAGCAGAATCGCTTATCAAATCAGGGTTCTTTTCCCGCCCCATGCATATGACCAAGCCATCGAAGCATTAATCTCTTTGCCGCCCCCCCCCCCTCCTCACCCTAAAGGAAGTTTTTAGAACCAAGTTCTCTCTCTCTCTCTCTCTCTCTCTCTCTCTCTCTCTCTCTCTCTCTCTCTGCCTCTCTCTCTCTCTCACAAACACAAACTCGCCCGCGCACACACACCTATATTACTTATGTAATCGAACGAACAGAATGCACCCTCTACACATGAGGCTAATGCCGCCCTCCGGACTGTCCCATGCACCCCCTATATTTGACAGAGGCAGCTATCGCCCCCTCGTAGAACACCAGCGACCCCTAGGTCGTATTTGCCACTCATCACACGCAGTGTGAACAATAACACCAATTGTTAATATTAGTATTATTATTGTTGCTACCTAAAACTAGGCTTAAATCCTTGAGCTTCCACTCTGGAAAACTATTTACGGTTGACCCCAACCACCTACCCCCCCCCCCCCCACCCGTCCCCACCCCTTTTCCCACCAACTGATATGTTAGGTTAGTTGCGTATCCTTTACAGAACGTTGCGGAACCAACCCCATCAGCCCCTGTCTGTTGTGTGGTTTCTCTCGGCAAATTTACGTCCAGTAGTTTAACTTATCTGTAGTGCTGCATAATATCTTCTAAAACGAAAATTACAAAATCATTTGTACTGGTTGCTAGAACAAATCAAGAACATGCTATACATACCACTAGCGTGCTTAGTTTTCACATCTCCAAGCTGAATCATGAAGTCTCGAGTAATTTTCTGAACTGTAGTTCCCTTATAGCCCATATACGTCTGAGGTTTAGAGAAATTATGGTCAAGGTAAGGCAAACCCATTTTACATGAAACAGTTTACGTACACATCTAGTTTTTACATGATAAAAGAAAGTAAATGGCTCTGTCGACACCCATTTCACAAATACATAAACCAGATCAAAACGGATGTCTACGCTAAGCGCACGTCTTGGAACAAGTCTAAAGTCCAGAAGTGGACTAGCAATTTGAATTTTTTAAACAAAGTGTACAGTCTGTGAAAGCTAAGAAGAAGAGGAAGACGACCCAGACCGTGAATGTTTTTAAATTGATCTGGAATCCCAAGTCATATTCTCCTTCTTCTTCTTCTTCTTCTTCTTCTTCTTCTTCTTCTTCTTCTTCTTCTTCTTCTTCTTCTTCTTCTTCTTCTTCTTCTTCTTTTCTTCTTCTTCTTCTTCTTCTTCTTCTTCTTCTTCTTCTTCTTCTTCTTCTTCTTCTTCTTCTTCTTCTTCTTCTTCTTCTTTTTCTTCGTCTTCTTTTTCTTCTCTGGCATTCCGAGCTGTTGAGGCTCATTGCTGCAGATATCAACCGCCTCCATACATCTCTCTTGTTGGTCTTCCTTTTCCAGTTGGTGACACCAAGTGTTTGTAGGTCTGTCTCGATATTATCTCTTTATCGTCTTTTTGATCTACGACCATTCAGCTCTCTTGTATGTACAGTTTTCCTCTCACCGTCATATGACATTCTCTCAGTATGCCCAGCCATTTCAGTCTACCGGCCCTCGTGATGCCAGTGATCAGTGGGGATTTAAACAGATTATGAATTTTGTTGTTGCTTCTCACTCTCCATAACCCGCAGTTTGCATCTTTGATGGGCCTAAAGATTCGTCGTAAGACTGTTTTCGAAAATGTGTAATAAGGCTTCATTTCCTTAAGTTGTGCTCCAAGTTTCTTCATCTTCCTATTTTCTCTGCTCATGAAATGCCCCACGCCGCAGGGCAGGAAGAGATCTCTGGAAAGGGTCTTTCTATTTTGTAAGATTTCTTTATTTTCTACGAGCACTAAGTAAGCCACTGCCGATTTGCTAGACCAGTCACAGTGTTTTCAAACTACCTAGAGGGTCACACTTGAACTAGACTATCACATGAAGCCTAGCTAACACATCTTCCACTCTAGGATGTCCGAAACTGACCCCGGTTAGATGCTGGCGAAAAATAAATTCTTTATCAACGAATAAAACTATAATACTTACTTAACAACACAAAGAAACTAAAATAAACCCACAGAAAATCATGATGAAATAAATATAACAAGAAGAAAAGAGCTAGTTGCGTATCCTTTACAGGAGCGTTGCAGAACCAACAGTGGCATATTTTTTTTTTTCTGTTGTGGTTTTTCTTCGCAAATTTACGTTCAGCAGTTCACAATTTTACTTACTGAATGGTCGACTTTCGATACCATTGTCGAAACCAATGCAAGACGGTCTGCTGCCAAATCGCACGTAGCTCAGATCAAGCCCGGCACCCCTGCATTACGAATAGCGCTCGCAACACCTAAGCCACAGATGCCGACGATAACTAGAAAAGCCTGATACTTTAAATTAGTTTAGACGTGTTTGGGTATTCTCTGCCCACGGCCATCTTTAGCTATAAATCTAGAGTTGGCGGTGTCTCTGCCCAATGCTTCCTTGTGAGCCCTGGTTAATACAAAGATGTCGTTAAAAGCAGGGAACCTTGATGCTCAAGAACTTGAGGCCCTGCCTCCAATTTTTAATATGTTCCAGCGTCCCAGTAATTCTTACGATCACCTGAGCTCCCCCCCCCCTCTTTCCACTCTCTCCCATCATTGCATCCTTTCCTAGCAACAGTGGCCCCATTAACCATAAATAGATGTTATCTTTCTTGATATGTGTTTATACATTTACTATTATTTTTGCGCAATTAAACAAGGCTTAGGCTCTTTAATTAGACCATTGTCCCCTTAAAAAATCTATGTAAGGGTGCTAAGTACCCCAGTATGTGTGTGTGTGTTTTTTTTTTAGGCGTCTGTAATTGAAAGTTGAAACATTAAAACTTTCGACGGTAGAAAACTGATGGTTTCTTTTAATCATTGTATTTGTTACAGTTGAATTTTGTGAGCAACGAGTTGTGAGTAGTAAATATATAAACATTTAACCCGAGAGTTAACAGGAATGCTTTGGCACTATCTGCCACAGCGAGCCACACTAAAACGTTACAACGGTATAGAGCGAGTGGAAGACCTCGGAATATATGGAGAGATGGCATTAAGAACAGCTTTACAGAAATAAACATCAGTCTTAATAGTGCTCTTGACAGAGCTCATCAACGTACATTACCTCTCCCCCCCCCCCACCCCCGACACTTCGATGAGGTACAAGGTGGAAGAGAAGAAGAAGGATAACCCGAGAGAGGTTGGCGAAATTTGGAATCATATCTCTGTTTGTATATTAATGTGTAAACGTGTATTTGTGTCTGTATTTATATTTTGCTGCTGAAGATTGAGACAGATAGATAATAGGAATGTGATGGTGGTTCATAATTCACCACTACACGTGTATTTATTTATGTCTGTTTAAAAATTATTTAATACTAAATTTACAAATGTAAGAAACATTTTAAAAAAATGTAGACAACTCACCTTTCCTTTTGTGTAACCTACGGCAAGAGAAATAAAGTTCAAACACGTTATGGGAGTTAGTTTCCCAAAACAGGCTATGGTTATTCTTTCTCTGAAATCCTGGCCAGTGCCGTTGTAATCAGGAATGAAAAAATCAAACCAGACCTCTTCCGTCACGATCACCCTGTAAGTAAATTAGATATATTTGTTCACGCCTTAGGCCCATAAGGCATATATATGGGAAGAGCATCCCCTATTTTTACAGACCAATCGGCACTAGGTGGGCAATGTGGTCAGCATTTCGCCGACCGTCTTTACTTCCCCAGATCACCCTGTAGATTTTCCTGTATTGTGTGTGAACAGCAACACAATATTTTTGCACTCAATTTATCATTGATAGTAAATAAGTCAATGACCCTTTTCACGACAGTGGCTATCGGGCTTATGACTCATATTTGTGTAAACCAATCAGCACTCGATGAGTGATGTGCTCAACTTCACGCTGGCCCCCTTTACTTTCGAGGACTTCACCTGGTGCCCATTTTGGACCGGGTCGACCTGGGAGCCAAGGTCATTTTAGGAAATAATCCGACTGGATGTCGATTTGAACCCAAAACCTCCGATCACGTAGGCGAGCGTCTTGGTCTCTACGCTACCGCGGATACATCACTGATAGTAGGCATAAATAAAGGTATCTTTCTTTGTGTGTGTGTGTTAAGAAAAAGTTGATATTTTTGTGAATAATCATATCTGTTAGATACGAATACTGAAGTGTAAGATGGTGGACCGTGTTTTACTAGACCCTTTGAGACGATAAAACACTACACCATACTAAGCATGTCGTAAGGTGTGACTGAGAATAGAGCTGGTTGCCTCATCCTGTGAAAAGCTTCAGCCAAAAACCAACCAGCTTTCAAGTTTTCAATTTATCGACTCCTGGGTTGCTTTCTGTCAGAGATTCAAAGAGCCGTTATTCGGGTTTAGAATCCAATTGAGTGATCGTGCCCTATGGGAATGAGTGAATTAGATAAAAGGCGCAATAGCTATTAAACGAGGACAAGCATGTAGAAACCGTTGCGGGGTAAAGAAAGAAGAAATACCAGTCCATTCCATACTGGGTAGGTTGAGCACAGACACAGGGATGTCTGCTTCATTGGAGGACGGAACATGAGTGGGTTGTATCTATGTGCTGGATTGTTACGGACAACAGGTAACAAGACAAATGTCACACAAAGAAGAATAACGTTGAGACAATGATGATAGTGGGGGTACTCCATGATGTAATGTGTTCTATTTTGCTTAGAAGTTAGCCTAGTACGTTATAATATAGTTACTAAGAATGGTAAGCATGAACCCGTGTATTTGTGTGTGTCCAAAAGTTGTTTTAGATCTTTGCGATAACGTTCAAACATAAGTAAGAATACACCCAGGGTTTACAATTCGTACTTGAAGCACTCCAGTCTAGGAAACTACCAGAGTTGCAAACACTGCTGACACAACTCAGCTGTCCACGAAATAGTCGTAATGCAGTGGATACGGTTACAATGTGGAGTGCCTGGAAATAAGAAAGCTGATCAATTGGCAAGGGAAGGTGCGACAAAAGTGCAGCCGGATATATCATCACATACCACCAATTGAATAGGATAATTAAATCGATCAGGAAACCACCAGTCCCAGCACAAGACGACTATTTTAATATGGATAGATCAGAACAAGTCATTATCCCCCTCCTCAGAACAGGGCACAGCCGATTACGTAACCACATGTACACAAAATTCAAGATAGGTGTATCAGTCATGTGCACCTGTGGAAAGGTGCCCCAGAGAGCAAAGCATTTACTCCAGGACTGCACCGAATTGGACACAAACCTTTTGTCTAGACAGAACAACAATGGAACTCTATGGACCACTGAATGAACTAACAAGGACAGTGGAATTTATACGAGAGACAAAATTGCTGATATAGACAACTTATTTCAGGTGAACGAAAGAAGAAGAAGAACACCCGTATTTTTTTTCCTGTTAAAAAAGTGCCATATTTGTTCAAATAGACTAATAAGAAATCAATCGGCGAAGTCATCGACATCACGTCGGTCGCCTATACTTTCCATAACTCTTATTTTTCCCCACTGTAGACTAGATCAGCCTTGGAGCCATAGATCAATCATAAAACTGTCCCAGTCCGGATTCTAAGCCGGTCTTTGGGCTAAGAGGCAGACACGAAGCCATGGCATTAGTTTGATTTCCGCCAAATCTGAACATCAAAGAAAATAGTTAATAAAGTAAACACCTAAGCAGTTAAGGGAAACCCTTATGTTATGTTATGTTTTGTTACTTTTTACTATATTTTGTTAAGTTATGATATCATAATTGACCTCACTACACACTGGATCAGCTGTTCTCAGCCTATAGGTCGCGACCCCCTTTTTGGGTCGAACGACCCTTTTACAGCAGTCACCAAAGACCATCGCAAAACAAATATTCATTGCAGTTAAGAAGCAGGGACAAAAATATTTGAATGGTTGGGGGTCACCACAACAGAAGGAACGGTATTAAAGGGTCGCTACAAAGTGAGGAACTGTATAAAATGGTCGCGGCACTGGATATTTCCACGCGTCTTCAGTCCTCCTTTGCAGCAACCACTTCAAGATTCCTCTCACAGACTGTTCCCATGAGAAGTTGAGGTACTACTCACGATTCTGCCCGCATGCGTCCACGTTTCGTCGGGGCGCGATATTTCCTGTCGGCTCCATTTGTATGCCGTGGCCTTTCCTTCCGGCTGCTGTATGTTCTTAGCGTTTCAGCATATGCGTTTCTTTCTACACACCGTGCAGGAAATCGTTTCAAAACGAAATTTTTCTTAGTAGGCGGCATTGATTGACGTGGTGGTTTTTTCCCCCCATCTTTCTTGTTGTTTTGTGACAGCGACTATACCAAATGGTATATTTTGCAGTTCTGTCTAGCAAGCTTGTGCGTGCCAGAAATAAAACATCCGGGGGGGGGGGGGGGGGGGGGGGTAAAACCATGGATAATTTTCTAGGGTGCAGATCTCAAGAGGCTTAGGTCTTTTTAATAATAATAATAATACTAATATTAATAATAATAATCGTTATGAATCTGCGTTGATCCCTGGCATCATGAGAGCGAATAGACTGAAATGGTAGGGGCATATTGAGAGAATGTCAGATGAGGTAAAAACTAAATACACAAGGGAGATGAATGGTCGTAGACCACAAGGTAGATTAAGAAGACGTTAGAAAGATAATATCCAGACAGGCCTACAGACACTTGGTGTCACCAGTTTGAAAGAGAAGGTCAACCAGAGAGATGGGTGGATGCGGTAGATATCTGCAGCAGTGAACCTCAAGGGTTCGGAGTGCTGAAGAAAAAGTATATTTTTATTAAGCAAAAAAAAAATTAGGCGTAAGTCCCTTGTTCGTTATTATAATAATAATAATAATAATTATTATTATTATTATTATTATTTATGTGTGCTAAATGTTGGAAAGGGTGGGGAAGGGGTGCCTCTTCCCCAGAAATGAAAATGGGGTTTTAACAACCTTCCCCCCCCCCCCAACCCCCACTAAAATTTGGAAAGGGACTCAACGAGTCTAAGCTTAGAGGTTTTTGTGATTATGCTGTGTGGGTTATGAACCCTCATAGAGGTAACTGTGGAAAGAACCTGCCACGTGATAACAAACTCATATACCGAACAACCACGTGGCAATTTTTATCCACTCTGATCCGTACCTTACCAAAATTTTCCGACTGAATTATAATCTTATAGGAAAAAAGAAGACATATCTAAACATAGCAATAGAATACAAAGACATTAAACAGGCATCTGAGTTTAAATATCTGGGATCTACATTTACCGAAGATGGGAAATTGGATAAAGAAATTGACATTAGATTCAGTAAAGCAAACCAAGTATTGGGACAGCTAGCCCCCCTCTTACAGCTTAAGACAATCCCAATCAGCACAAAGAGACATCTTATTCAAAGCATATTTATTCCAACTCTGTGCTACCAGTGCCAGACATGGTCACTCACAACAAACCATAAAAGAAAATTAGTAACCACGGAAATGAGATGTCTGAGAAGGGCTGTAGGAGTGACCATAAGAGATAAGATCAGGAATGAGATCATAAGAGAACAAGTCGGCACAGAACCAATTCTGGATTACATACAAAGACAGCAAGTGAAATGGTTTGCCCACTTAGAGAGAATGCCTTGTGACACCTTACCATACAAAGCATATATGGAAAGAGAAGAAGGACGTAGAGCACGGGGTTGACCAAGAACAAGATGGAAGGATAACATCAGAGAAACTCTACAACAGCACGATGTGCCTATGGTCGAGGCAGCCAGAAAAGCTAGAAACAGAACCTTATATCTCCCTCGACACCCACAGCGGTAAAAGAGGAAGTGAAGAAGAAGAGAAGAAGAAGAAGAATTATAATCTTAAAACTGTTAAAAGCACTCACGCTTCAGGTGGTTTCTCTACTTGCACTCCTCCGTAGGTCCCAAGGATGTTCATTTTGTTAACGGCTTGCTGATCTATGTTGCCTAAAGGTGAGCTTTCTGCTGCAGTGGTTTTCGTTGAAGCAGAAATTGTTACCAATATGAGAAGAGTTATCATTCTGTCTTTATTTACTGTGTACAACTGCGATGACCTTTAGAAATTACCTGTAGGAAGATATCATAAATAGACGTTATTAGAGTATTTTTTTTAAGCGAGAGGGGGAAAAAAAAGGGGGGGGGGGGTTAAGAAGGTTGATCCATGGGCGTTGGCACGACGAAGAATATGGGGGGGGGGGAGAGAGAATTAGTAGGTTGATCCATGGGCGTTGGCACGATGAAGAATATGGGGGGTGGGGGAGGGTGAAACTCCTTTTTTAATTTTTTAGAGCCTGGGGTCCTCAAGAGGTTTAATATTTGTTTAAGTAATAATTATAATAATAATAATGTAAGTAAAAGTTAGTAAAGATCTCTTTTTCATGCCGTAGGCGCATCGGGCATATGGGAAGAGCACCCATATTTTTACAGACCAATCGGCACTAGGTGGGGTAATGTGGTCAGCATTACGCCGACCGTCTTTACTTCCTCATGACATGCATCCTGGTACCCATTTTAGGCTGGGTCGACTTGTGACGCCCCATACCATGATAGAAAATCCACGCAGC